AACAAGTAGATTAATAGAAAGTGAATGATGTGGCGATGGTTCTGTGTAATTTTCCCCTCCATTATTGGTGTCTTTTGAATCACCTATTCTTTTTCATCTACTACAAACCACATGTTGATTATTTATTGGCGAGCGTAGGTAATTTTAGCACACTGTTCTCTGACCTGGATGTCCTAATGGTTTGCCTCATGTGCTTGTTTCACAGAGCCAATCATCAGATAAAGTTTTCTTCCGTTCATTTTTTTTTGCTAAACTCGTTTATAAATACACAGCCATACGATACTACATGAGAGCCGCAAAAACAGCCCAAAAATTATGTGATAAGTTCAAAAAAAGAATGGACGAGTCCGGATTTGAACCGGAGACCTTTCCCATGCTAAGGGAACGCGCTACCAACTGCGCCACACGCCCAGTTTGTGTTTGAGGGAGGTTCCAAAGCAACAACAAAGACAAAAAACGTGTTTTTATTGAAAATTGGCTCGTTTTTGTTTTTCCTCAAAAATGATTTCTTTATATAATGCTTTTCATATCATAGCGCTAAGCCGAAACTCTTACCTGATCCCAGCCGACAACTCATTGGAGAACTTAGAAAGTTAAATCGGCTCGTCACCACGATCTTCAAGGTTTACACCAGAAGGCGTGGCGAGTCGCAGGAAGTGGGCTCCTAAAGTCTGCTACAGCCATCTGAGTTGAAGCAACTACTACAGGAGACCTATCCGAGGAGTCGATGACGTAATATCCAAAACGTAAACAGATAAGGGCCATGAGGACCGTCCAGGCCGTGACTAGTAGGGGACGAGCCGAGCTAAGACACTTGATACGTAGCTGGGAGCTGTTTAAAGTTTTTTATATATATTACTTATATAGTCTTGCCCCTTTAATCAGATGAATCTACCAAAACAAAAATAGGGTTTTCTTAATAGTGTTTAGTTAGTACGGATTTTTTCTCTAAAAAAAATATCATGCTTCTTACATCCAGTGACACCCTTTTCTCACAGTTTGATGTTTCTTTAAACAAAATTAAAAATATAATTAATTTGCTGAAAATTTCGCTCCTTGCACTTTGCAAGCCGTTTGAATGTTAACTTTACTTTGATGCCTGTATTACAGATGAAAAACAATCATTACTACTATTACTGGTGTGGCCCGACAGGAATAATCCGTGGTGGCTCTATATACGCAAACGCGGGCTTTCTCAAACGAATTTCTAATGTTTAGGGTTTCTGTTATTAGATACAATAGACAAGGCTAGTTTCTCAGAAGACATAGTCTCCAGAAATCCACCGGTTTACCATATCCAAGGCGTTCTCGGGCTGGTTGTAAGGAACCATATGCCCTGCATCAAACACACGCAAGAAAGTAAAGTGCTTGTGGTTTTTGACCTCTCCAGCAGTCTTGTTTCCCACGACCCAATCTCTCACTGGCAGTGTCTCGAACTCTTCATGTCCGGACCATGGCAACTTGTTTGACCAGGCCTGATTGCCCAACCAGTTGCAAATGAAGTCTTTGTCACCGGAGTAAAGGAGGACAGGCACCTCTGCTTCCAACATCTCAGTCACACTAAGTTGGGATGGTCTCAGTCCGTCGCCCGTATACAAGAAATTCCTCAACATGTCAGAGTTGCATCCCTGATATGAGTCGACTTCCACACCCAATTTCTGGCGCACCTCGGGCGAGTTCAAATAGTCTTCGACATACAGCAAGCCATCGTAGCACAAGCCATCGTTTCCGCACATTTCCCGAATGTCGTATGGGTTTCTTCCTGTTTTCATGTATGGAGCTTCTTCAGCATTGGAGCAGTAGATACTAGCAGGAACGCATGCAAAGACGGAGCCCGTGTTGTAGCAAGCTTCAATCAAAGAAGTGCACCGAGGAATATTAGCAGCCATATTGGCGCATTCCTCGGCTGGCAACACGGAAGGCTCACCACCTTCACCACAGGCCATTGGCTGATAGTACTCGAATTGGGTCAATGGATCGGTGATACCGTTGCCAATCAAGACAGACTTAAAGTTGAACGAGCGTTCCGGGTGGTGCAAGATCTCCGAGGAAAACAACGGGATATAGCGGCCTGCGTACGACTCACCGGCAATGTGGAAGTCGCTTTTCTGAAACGAAGGGAATTGCTTGAAGAACAACTCCAAGAACGCATACACATCCTTTGCAGCCGCGGCGGTGTTAGTCACAGACTGCAGCGAGTAGGAGAAGCCTACGTTGACAGGCTGGTCCAAAAATATCACCGAGGCGTTATTGTTCCATGCATAAGGGTTGAACTCGGGCTCCAACTTGGCGTTGATCAGCGAGGGTCCCAACTCAAAAAACAACCCGGTCAAGGAAGAGCAGCCCGGACCACCGTTCAACCACAAAATAATTGGATCGGTCTCCGGGTCGTTTCTCGACTCAAAAAACCAGTAGAAGAAATGCTTGTCCTCGTCCTCTACATCTAAATAGCCCGTGTACTGCTTCACAGAGTCAATTCCCAAGTCTTCGGGCGTCGATTTTACCCGCAACTGATGGTTAGGAAACCTGGCATCCGACACATGGAAGTCAAACGAGGCCAGGTTCTTGCTGCTTTTCTTCGCCTGGCTTTTGAAGGCCAATTGCGAAACCTGCTTGGGGAACTCCAAAAAAATGTCCTGCCACATGTTAACTATGGCCTGTGGCACATTACTGTCAGGCTCGCTGAAATACTGGGCGAGCCTGGAGTAGACATCGCCCTTTTTTTCATCCAAAGTAGCCATTATGTCCGCATACTGGGCGGACACGTGACCCCAATTATTGGCTAACACCTGCTGGGTTTTTCCAGCCCCTGAAGCAAGACTGAACCCGGGAAGTACGGCGGCGTTTGTGCCTGTTACAGCACAGGCCAAAGCGGCTAAGGCGGCAAATCTCATTTGAGGTGCGAAATGACTAAAAGAGAAGACGCAAATGGCACTCGGAGAATTTGGAAGCAAATGCTACTATTCCTAGTTGCTACTTCCAGCTGATATACTACTTCTAGAGTTGAGGAAGAGATAAGAGATTGAGCATTGCTGGGCGCGCGGAGCCGCTTGACGAAATGGCACAGTCACGTGATACGGAGTTGTCAAGTCGGGGCGCTGCAACTACAAGTATGTGCTTGATTGGGAAAAGATCATGCTGGGCTTTGACGTACTAGCTTCGAAAAATGACCAAAACAAAAAAGAATAAAGAAAAAGGAGGAAGGAAAGTGGGCGTTGTTTGTCATCATTCTTCGAAGCTCCTCTGGCACCTCCAGTACAATTTCACGTGCCTTTTAGAGTAGCCCTGTAAGATCTTTTTTCTGTCATTTGAGTTGTGTTCTAAGTATATTTATTTGATGAGGTCCATGGCCTTTAGAGCAGTCATGTCTAAAAGTAAGAAAGACAAATCTGCCGATTAATTGTGACGGGCGTTTGCCTGTATTATTTGCTGGGCTTGCCAAATCTTCTTCTTGAAATCGAAAGGTGCTTTCATTTAAAATCGAGCTTATGGAGGCTCAGTGATAGACCACTTGACAGAACTATGGGGATTTTTTGCAAAAGAAAGCAAGGCTGAGAAGTATCTCTGGCTCACATGACCGTCTATTCAAACGAGACCCATCAAGAATGATTCCCAGTCTATTATAGTCTTAGAATCAAATCCAATATGAATAGTACGCACGGCAGTAGAGAAAGGAAAAACATTCAGCATTTTCTTTAACAAACAAAAATATGGAGATTTTGGACCTCAATAAGGCTCAAAAGATGTTCTTTCAAGCAATTTCATATTCTGCCCACCCTCAGGGAATCAAAGGTGCCAGGCCCAACAATGGCGAACTGAATCACTGTCATTATTGCCCAGCTGATATATATTTGTTAAATCCAGCTTTCCCACACAAAGTAAACTCGCAAGAAAATATTGTTTCTCCTTTTTCAAGAAAGGGTCCCCTCCACATATGTGTCATTTATCCGTCGTGCAGACAAATACGAGCTGTTGTTCCCTTTCAAGTAGGAAGCGCGGGCGGTCCCTGAACCGGCCTACTATGATAGCTAAGTACTGTACATGTTGGAGGTGACTGACAAATCGAACCGAGATCAGCCGCGAAAATCATGCCCACGATAAGCGTCTTGCAAACTATATAAAGACCGTGCGTGCCAGAAACACGTGAGCGGCACCTCACCGAACTCAGGCTATCTTGTGAAATTTTCGAACATCGAATCCATTCACACTCTCATTTGATATGACAAGAACACAGCCAGTAGAGCCTTTCGGCACCAAGCTCACCACTAAATCCGGCAACGCCGTTCGTTTGGGAACCGGTTCCGGGACCAAGTGGCAAATCATCAAAAAGGCCCGGGACGCGTCGTTGCAAAACACGTTGGTGGACGAGTTGGTGGATAATTTGGTCACCAGCGTGCAAAACGGTTTCAGGCACTTGGACACCGCGGAAATCTACACCATTCACCCGGAAATCGCCGAGGCCATCAAGAAGTCGGGGGTGGCGAGAGAGGATCTTTTTGTCACTACCAAATATAACCCTGGGATTGAGCAGAGACATGCCTTCTACAAGTCGGGTGCCGAGTCTGTGGACGCTGCTTTGAAAGAGCCCGATGTGGAATACATAGACTTGTTTTTGATCCATTACCCGTTTTTCCAGAAGGAGTACTCGCACGGGCAGTCGCTAGAGGACGTGTGGGCGGATTTGATCCAGGCCAAGAAAGACGGCAAGGTGCGGTTTATTGGGGGCTCCAATTTCACCGTGGACCATTTGAAACTGTTGAGCCTCGTGGCGGGCGGCGACCCTGAGTACTCTCCTCAGGTGAACCAGATCGAATTCCACCCGTACTTGCAGAACCAGAGCGAGGGCATCCGGGAATTCGCCAAGGAAAACGAGATTTTGCTTGAGGCATACGGGCCCTTGTCGCCGCTTTTCCGGATCGTGGACAGCGACGGCAAAGAGGTCGTGGACCACCCGTTGAAGCCCGTGATGCCGAGATTGGCGGAGAAATACGGCAAGACCGACGCGCAGATTTTGTTGCGCTACACGTTGCAAAAGGGGCTCTTGCCGATCACCACGTCGCTGCAGTCCGACAGACAAAAGGAGGCATTGGCCGTGTACGACTTTGCCTTGGACGACGAGGACGTGCAGTTGATTGACGACACGGGCTCGCAGTTCCATTTCCGTGGCTTCTTCAAAAACTTGTATCATACGAAGGATTGATCTGATCGGATGAGCGCTGCAGATTTGCTTTGCCTGATGCAGAGAAGGCAGGGGCTGGGCAGGGTCATATCTTCAATTTATAGACATTGCCTGGTCTGATCACGTTTATAGACATGCCTAGTTTTATCGCGGATGCGCCCGCCATTACATTTTCGAGGAGCTGTTCATCCAGCCAGGTTTTGTTATGGCTGATATTTGGGGTTCTGGGTAAGTTTAATGGAGGCTCCAGTGGGTAAATGAGCATTGATTATTGGATTGTGCCCATTTGCATTTCCTGGTTCAGATTTTTAGTGCCCCTGCAACCAATATATATGTAGCTTCTGTCTAAAAGTCAGAGATTACAGAATTGCATAACTAAAGCTGTCATGCCTAATGAAGTAGCGAGTCCAGAAAACAGGTTTCGCAATCACTCGTCACATCATCACTGGGATCTTCCACGCACCAAATGCGTCGCCAACAGGACATCAGCTGGGAGCCCCAAAGGCCAAGTAGTACGAAAACAAAGGTGTTCTATTTTTAGTCTTCGGAATTTTCGTGTTCAAATTCTGTCATCTTTGAGCTAAACTAGCCGTGGGTCACGTGATATTCCAATTCTGCTGACATGGAATCAAGAATGATCCGTTGTTGATTCCGAATCAGCTGGAACTGGCTTTATTTTGCCCGTTTATGCTTTACTGTTTTGTTAGTGTCAATTGTCTTTCTGATCACCTTGAATCTACATCACAGCATAGAACTGGCAGGCGCGGTGATTGCTCGCGATACAATCCAGCGCTTTCTCAAGTGAACCCTACTACTTCTAAAATTCACAATTTAAAGAGCTGTATTATGTGTGGACGGTACGCTTTGGGAATAGTATGTAGATATAAACTCACTGGAATATTCTGGAGCCTTTGCATAGTTTCTAACACTTAGTCAATTGAGAACTTGCCGCAGCAATTCAACGAAAACGTGCTCCACCCAGATCAGAGCACTGATTTGACCGAACAAACAGACCATGAAATCGCACCAAATTCTCTGCTCGAGAAACGCTATGAGACCACGGCATCCGTCAGCGGCACTGAGTGTACAATACACTTGAATGTGTTGTCGTCAGGTTTTCAGGCTTCGTATAATATCCCACCTACAGCAACAGGTGCGATAATATACATGGATAAACACAACTCTCAAAACAATGAACAAGAAAACATCATATATTGCATGGAGCCTCTGAAATTCGGTCTTTTGCCTGTATGGGCAAAGCCCCAAAACTCACAGTCTGTAAAGAAGGGCACGGGAAAAACACATGGCACTGAGTACTCGCGTGAGGTCCAACAGCACCAAGCGAAATTGTTCAACTGTAGGCGGGAAACACTAGCACAAGCTCAAACAGTGTGGGCAACACCTCGCAAACACTCCCGGTGTGTGGTGCCGATTCTGGGTTACTTCGAATGGCTTAATACTGAACAAGGGAAGGTGCCCTACTTTGTCCACCTGCCCACCAGCCCTCTCCTCTTTTTGGCCGGGCTTTACTCACACAATCACAACTACAATGATACAGAGATGGTGCCCCTGGGTGCAAAGCATTTTTCGTCGTTCTCCATAGTCACGGGGCCTGCATCAGGGAAGGGCAAAAATGACATGCTGTGGCTCCATTCACGCAAGCCGATCTTCATCGAGCCGAACTCCAAAGCGTGGTTTGACTGGTTGCGTCCGGACGATGTCTGGGACGAGCAAATCTTGCAGTCGTGTTTGAACACAGATACCAACCCTGTTTACGAAAGCCTTCGGTGGCACACGGTTGCAAAATCCGTGGGCAACCCCAAAAACAAGTGCCTGGATGTAATCGAAGAGGAGAATGTGAAACAAAGACCGATATCGTCATTCTTCCAGACGAAAAAAGAGGCGAAGCCCGAGCCAAAAAGCGAGGGAATCGCCAAGTGCGATGATACAGGGGAGAGTAGTCTGACTCGTAAGAGAAAACTAGACTCCGACGAAGAAAAAACAAAAAAGATGAAAAAAGAATAATGCTGCGGAGGATCTACAGCTTTTCATTCGGAGGCGGTCGCTCGTCATAGTGGGGTTTGACCATACTGGGGCGTCTGGGATACTGACAAACACTTTTATGAAGGCATCTGAGAGGCATGTGTTTCCGGTTTACGTTTCAAATTTTGACGCTAGCAGCTCTGAAGAAAGCTTTATGTGGTTGGTGGAAACCCACCATTTTTGCTCGACATTCCAATGCCGGGTCATGTCACTACTTCTGTGGTAATACTAGTTCGGTGTTTTATGACTTGTTCCGGTCTCCTTTGGCACAACCAGTCTTATCTCCAAGATAATCATTCGGATGTTCTGTCTCGGGCCAAGCGATCCTGTTGATTGCAAATCTAATAAAGCAGATACGTCCCTGCACCAAAAATTTCGAAGCAGAAGAAATCGCCCGGTATTTCTTAATTGCGGTCCGACTCTATGACTGCGGGATCGCAAATCACCATCAGCGTGATTTCGTCATGATATGATAGCCCCGAAAGACGTCGATGGCCACATATATTTTGAGACGTGGTATGCCGCAACGTAAATTCCATGGTCATGGCCAAAGAAATGACCGCTTTTCTTAAGGTGCGTTTGCGGTCCCAAAATCCAACAAAAGAAACGAAATCTCATCCAAGGAAATTCCTCTGTATCTAAACACTATGGAGACTCTGTGATCTAGGAGATTGAGACGTTCCCAGCAGCGCACCCACTGCAAAATAGCATCAGTACTACTGAGCAGTGCCAACCTCACCAGCCCCACCAATCCCATCCACGCATCCCAAAACGCCAAAATCAAGAAAAGCCAAAACTCCAAAAAGCCATTATCATAAAAATCCAAAAGCAACAGCAGCAGCTATTATGGAACGATCAACATATCTTGCCATCTGATGCCTGCAACTCTATTGCTAATATGGCCCGGCACTGGGCCCGGCCTCCGGCGCCTGCACACAGGCGCGGAAAAAATTATCGTGAGAAACAACCTCGAGTCGTGTAAAGACTAAACTGACTGGTGAACAGTACACTGATTTCAACCGCAAGCTCGGATCTGTGCAGCGTTTGGAACTTTAAAGACACACGCTAACATGCCGGTCCGCCAGGTGCTCATGAAAAACAGCGGGCTTCGTCACGTGGCTGCGCTTCGCCACCAGTCGCAGGCGGGTTCTTCTCTCTATTTGAACCCCCATAAATGGCAAGGCTTGCCCGCCGACCGGGTGTTCGAATTGCACGAAATGCGCAAGACGGCCTTGGGCGAGAAGTACGCGCCCAATGACGCCGAACGACAGGCGATTTTGGCCACGTACGCGGAGTTGAAGGTGGCGTCGCCAGCGTTGGCGTACAGCTACGAAATCGACAATTTTGCCGAGAGAGTCATGAACAACACGCCTGTGGCGCTCAGGGGCCTTCCCAAGAAGTACTCGAATGTGCCCGTTTTGGACAAGGGCGCCACTCCGCACGAGAAGAGAAGGCTCGAGCAGCTCCACCGCATCAGCGCGTACGAAATGCCGCTTTTGGCCAAGTACCGCCAGCCGTACACGCCGCAGCCGGCCGCCCAAACACCGCTCAAGCTCAAGTTCACCACGGACTTCTCGGACGAGTCGACGGCAGTCAACAGATCCGTGGCACTCTCCGTCAAACTCCAGCATTTGGGTCTCACGGACCGCCAAGCCACGAAGTTCAAGCTCTTGGCCGGCGACAAATTCGACCACCGCTCAAACACGTTCCGGCTTTCTACGGACCGGTACCCCGAGTCCACGCAGAACGCGCGGTGGTTGGTGGAGACCTTCAACCGGTTGCTCCGCGAATCGAAGGACCTCACCAAGAATACGTTCGACGAGGTTCCGCTCAACAATGTGCGCCAAAGCGCCCGCCGCAAGGCCGCGGTTTTCCCTGAGCTGTGGAAGAGGCCTCAGGACGCGCCGGTGCAAAAACACCGGATTGTGAAGGAGTGTGTTGATGCCGTGAAGCAGCGCATGGATGCCGAGTACGTGAAGAGCTTGTCGCCGTAGCCGCGCCTCCGAGGCATGAGCGGGATTGGCCGCCCGGTACACAGCGGCTCGATCTAGATGAAGGGCTCGATGTTATAAACGGCTCAATGTATATAAACGACTCGGTGTTATAAACGGCCCCATGTATATGAACAATCCGATGTATATAAACGGCTCGATGTTATAAACAACCCGATCTATGCAAACGACTCGATGTATATCAACGGCTCTACTTGATGTGTATAAACGGCTCGATGTTATAAACGGCCCCATGCATATCATCGGTTCGATATGGATAAACGGTCCCATGTATATGAGCAACCCGATGTATATATACGGCTCGATCTAGATAAACGGCTTTAGATAAACGACTGAATGTATACAAACGGCCCCATGTATATAAACGGCCCCATGTAGATAAACGGCCCCATGTAGATAATCGGCTCAATATAGATAAACGGCCCCATGTATATAAACGACTCGATCTGGATGAACGGCTCGAGGTATAGAAACGACCCATGTATCTAGATTATTGATTAGTCAAAAGGAAAACAGAGATTTGACGGATTAAGTATTATACTGATTAAGGCTTATGAAGCAATAGAAAGTAAACCGGCAATTTTACCAATGGTACTGATGAAGAAACATTTGTATACAAACGGCTCGATGTTATAAACGATCCCGTGTATATAAACATCCCAAACTACATAAACATCCCAAACTACATAAACATCCCAAACAACATAAACATCCCAAACAACATAAACATCTCAAACTACATAAACATCCCAAACTACATAAACATCCCAAACTACATAAACATCCCAAACTACATAAACATCCCAAACTACATAAACATCCCAAACTACATAAACATCCCAATCTATACAAAACCCCGATCTACACAAAAATGCCGATCTAGATCACCGGCCCATGCACCGACATCGCAGAGCAGGCGCCGGCCCGACACCCGTGCACCACGGCCTGCCATGGTGGAGTACCGCTAGGCCAGCGTCGTCCCTGTTGTCCACCACTCCACACCCGCCGAAACGCGTCTCGAACTCCCGGCAGCGCACAGACCCCCGCCGCCGTTCTCGCAACCAGCAGCATCGTCTTTTCCCGGCCGAAATCCGTGCTCCGTGCCCCCCTTTCCGTGCCCCCGCTTGCAAAGCCCTCCAGCACCCACAATCGCGGTACAACCCCCTCCGGATTCCCGACCATGGGCTTGCATTCGGCCTCCACCGTGCTCGGCGACATCATAGACGAGCTCCGGCTCAAGTACGACCCCTCCGCCGGGCTTTTGGACGGCGACGCGGTGCGCGAGGTGCCCAGTTTGAACACGCTCCAGAACGTGGGCAAGCTTTTGACCAAGCTCTCCGCCAGCTTGGCCGCCAGCGAGGAGCACGACCGCGCGTTGCTTCTCCGCGCAGACGCCATGTTGAGCGAGGCCCGGCTGAAGCCGCCGCCGCCAGAAGACGAGGCCCCGGAGCCTGAGGCCACGGCAGAGGCAGAACACAGCGCGGGCGCCGCGCCCGACGGGGCGCTCAAACGCGAGCGGGCCGGCGCCGAGCAAGACGGCGGCGGCGAGCCGGGCCCGCCCGCGAAAAAACGGCGCGTTTTGGCCCAGCAGGGTGACATCGACGCCGCGCCAACAGACGTCGCGGAGCCAGCGCCGGCCCCGGCCGAGCCTGGGGCCCCGGGCCCGGAAAACGGCCAGCTGCCCGCCCCCGAAACCCAGCCTGAAGACGAGGCCCGCCGCGAGCACGGGCCGGGGCCTCTGGGCGAGGAGCAGACGGACACCAAGGGCCCGCAAGCGGCCGGAGCCGAGCTTGTCAACAGCAAGGACGACCCCAAGCCGCCCGTGCAGACGGGCTCGTATACCCAGGGCAACGACACGCGGCTCAAAAACCCGAAGTCCGAGTTCGTGGGCGTGCAGACGCTATCGCAGACGGCGGTCGCCGAGCTCGGGCTCTTCTCCGAGGAAAACAACGGGCTCGAGACCCAGGGCAAGGAGTACTTGAAGAAGAAGTACGGCGTGGCGCTGTACCCGGCGAACGACTTGAAGCGGATGTTGCCCGGCGAGATCCCCGACCACGACTTCTCGAAAACAAAGGCGCCGGCCAACCAGGTCCAGTTCTCGACGTACCAGTCGTACATCGAGTCGTTCTTCCGTCTCTTTGCCGGCGAGGACGTCGCGTTCGTCAAGGACAAGTTCGTGATTCCGCCGGGCTTCGACAAGAACTACGACCCGTTGGTCAGCCCGTACTTGGTGCCCAAGTTGGGGCCCTTCTACACGGAGGCGTGGGCCGAGGAGGACGCGGCGTTGGGCTCCAAGTTGGCGCTGCCGTCTTTCCAGCGCCCGCCGCTAGAGGCGTACCGGCCCAAGGGCGACCCCGAGGACTTGGTGGACGACAAGTTGTTGACCGAGGATGTCTCGTGCGGCCCGCTCTCCACCAGGTTGCTCTCGGCTATTCTCAGTGTGCACGAGGCCAAGAAACCCGACGACGACGCCGACGACGCCGACAACATGTCGGACACGATGAAGAGCGAGAGCTCGTTCATCGGCGAGGACATGTTTGGCGGCGACTCGGCCTGCCAGTTGAACATGGCTGTGCCCTCCGAGGACACGGACTTTCTCTCGATGGAGGAGCGCTTGAAGCGCGAGTTGAAGTACATTGGCATCTTCACCAACACGCCCCTCTGCGAGAGCGGCAAGGCCAAAAAGGGCAGCGTCATCGACTCCGACGACTGGATCATCAACAGAGAGGACGACGAGATCTGCGCAGAAATAAGGCAGCTCCAGGACGAGCTCAAGGGCGCAGTGGTGCGCAACCGCAAACGCAAGAAGGCGCTCTTGCCCGTCTTGGAGGAGCACTTGGCGTACCAGGAATTCTCCACCATCTTGGAGGACCTAGACAAACAAGTGGACCAGGCGTACACGAAGCGGCTCAAGGCCAAGAGCAAGCGAAAGAAGCTTGCGCCCGAAACCACCAACTTGGCGCAGCAGCAGACCGCCAACAGCGGGCTCAAGACTCTTCTTGAAAAGCGCACGCGGTGGATCAGCAATATCGGCAAGCTCTTTGACGCCCCGGAGGTGATGAAAAGAATTCCCGACTCGTCCGTTTTCGCCAACGACGTCCATTCTGATGACGACGAGGGCGATGCGGAGGTCGAGGCTGCCAACGAGGACGCATCTTAGCTGGGGGCGGGGTTTCTGGACGCAAAACAGGCCTTGTGATGGCACGCTTCCAAGACAGAAACGTACGAGGACGTATACTGCCTGCTCGGCTAGGCAAATTTCTGGAGTGAGGACAAGTTCAAGGGGTGATGCCAAAGCTGAAGCATGTTCACGGAGACCGCTCAATAAAGACATGGATATCAGCCTCTGGAAAGCGCGAAGAATCGGACAGTCAGTGTGCGTTGAAGGTTGCGTTCATGTAAAAATAGTAAAGGGTGGTATGGAGAGGCTTGCTGGGATATCATGCCACGGGGAATCTAGGTACGGAAAAGCATATCCGGCTACTAGCTCAAGAAGCATATCCGGCTACTAGCTACAGAGAATCGATGCAACGGCTGAACAGTACATTTGAGCTAAATACCCCAGATGAAGCGTTCGTGTTCGAGAGCGCCGCTCTATAGAACGGCTGACTGCTCCACTTGTTGCAAGACCTTCATTCACTAATCGAGAGATTGTTTTTCATTAGATTGAGCCCTGTGCCAAGGAGACAAAGGTACATGATTACGTTGATATAAAGACCGGTTGGAAATATAGTACCCTGGAAGAAAAAAGGCAAGTGGAACACCTAGGGACGAAAGACAGAGCGAGCCTGGAAGCACTCCGTGGAGAAGGAAGTTGTATATTTACATGCAATTAAATAGGAGTCACCACACACGACATCCAATGCCTAAAGAGCCCTACAAGCTCATGCCGCGGGTCAACTCGCTGTGCGAGGGAAGCGTGCGGCAGTTGCCCATGGCACACATGGCCACGGGCTTGTCCTTGAGTCTGTAGTTGGCCCAGTTGACCACGTCTTCCTTGGTGATGTTCTCGACGCGCTCGAACACGTCCTCCGGCGAAAGACGGTAGCCCGTGTTGACGAGCTGGCGCCCGATGTCCTCCGCAATGGCCGTGGAGTCATCGAGGGCCAATACGAGCGATGCCTTGAGCTGGGCCTTGGACCGCTCGACCTCCTCGTCGGAAATCTGGCCGGCCTTCAAGCGCGCCCACTCGTTCAAGACCGCGTTCACAAAGAGCGACAAGTCGGTGGTGCTCTCTGCCGTGAAGTACACGCCCATCAAGCCCGTGTCTGCGTACGAGGTCGTGTAGGCCATGTAGGAGTTCGCCACCGGCGTGTTGGAGGGCCCGCCCATGGCCGCAGTCACGGCAAGCGGCGTGGGCGAGTCCGAGCCGATGCCCACGGCTCGGTCCCACGAGCCGATGATGCCGTTGGCCACCGACGAGGTGAAGAAATCAGGCGCAGACCAGCTGACGCCCTCGACGGCTAGAGCCACGTGAGTCACGGGCATGGAGTCGTCCTGGAGGCGTCTTTCCGCGCCGTAGAAAAGCGGGAGGTCGTCGCCGTGCTGCTTGAACGGAACTGCGCTTTTCTGGATGTGGCCAAAGTACTTCTGGGCGTGGTACACGAGCTGGTCGTGGTCCACACAGCCCACGCCGATCAACGCCATGCGGTCGCCCTTGTAGTTGGTGCCGATGTAGTTGACCAAGTCCGCGCGGTCGATGGAGCGGATCTTGTCGCGCGGCCCCAAGATGGTGCGGCCCAAGTCCTGGTTGCGGAACACGATCTCGTGCAAGTGGTCAAACACCACCTCGTCAAACATCTTGTCCACCTCGTCGCTCTCCTGGAGAATCACGGCGCGCTCCTTCTCGATGGCACGCTTCTCGAGCCGGGACTTGGTGAGGAGATCACTCAAAATGTCCACGTTCTGCTCCAAGTCTGTGGACAAGCACTTGGTGTAGTACACGGTGTTTTCCCGCGACGTGTAGGCGTTGATCTGCGAGCCCAAGTCCTCGATCTCGAGCTCCAACGCGTACTGCGACCGCTTGGCCGTGCCTTTGAACGCGAGGTGCTCGAGGAAATGCGCCGTGCCGCTGCTGGAGGGGTTGTCCGCACGTGACCCGGCGTTTATCCACATGCCCACGGTGGCTGTCTTTGTGCCGGGCATTTTTTCGCTGGCCACGGTCAAGCCATTTGGGAGCACGGTGGTTTTGTAGTACGAGCCCACTGTGCTGTCGGTCGCAAGATGCCTGCTGCTGCTGCGCAAGACGCGGCCGACTCTGGTGCAGTTGGAGAGAAGTCTGGACATGAAGAATGATGGCGTATATGGAGTAGTTAGATCTGGCTCGATGGCGCTCTTATGGCGGGGGTGCACTGGTGTGCGCGCCGCGATTATTAAGCTGGGGCCGGGCCAGAAGCTGGGGCCGCCAGCGAAAGGTGAGAAGGGAAGATTGAAGAAGGAAAAAAAAGAAAGAAAGAAGGGAAAGAAGGGGCGATTGAAAGAATGGAAAAAGAAAGATGAAGAGAAGCGGAAGAAGGGGGATTGAAAGAAGGGAATATTGGAAGAAGTGAAAGAAGTGAAAGAAGTGAAAGAAGTGAAAGAAGATATTGGTATAGAATGGTGGAGAAAGAAGAGAACGGCATAGAAATGGTGGGGAGAAAAATGTAGGAGCAAGAAAGACGGGTATAAATGAGGCATGGAAAAAACATCTACAGTCCCAAGAGGAATCACAGAGACGGGCCGGATTGTTTCCAAGATTTCTATGGAGATTGCGTCCAGTTGAGCGAGCCTGGTCATATATTACCAGCGACTATGCGACTGAGTAATGACAGGCCTGTGCGACAACCTGGGTTCTAGAATCTGTGCCGTACTTTGCAGTGCGGTAATTCACGAGCTACTGACTTGGCTGGCCCTCTGTTTCGTATTGAAAAAAACCTCATCCAATGCTACATAATTTGGCTGGCAAGATTTGTTTGGTTGAACACATGGGCAATGAATCGAACAAAGCGGCCCGAGATGAATCTCTTAGAAGCGAGTCTTGTAGTCCCGAAGCAGTCAAATATAAACACAGATGATGCCATTTCCAAGTATGCCTCGCGATTTTGTTCTTTCTGCAAAGGCCTGGGAATTCTGGTGTTGCAGGGTCAGCCATCGGCCTGGCTGTGATGTTCCACCACCGTGACCGAACAAATAGTATACCATAAATTAGGCCGCGTTCTCGTGGAAGCACTGCGTATTGTCCTAATAGACTATGATTCATCCGTTCCTAGTATTTCTGTTGACAAATTTCTATTTTGGCGCTTTTGGCGCTAAATTCGAATATCCTTTGTATCTCCTTTGATGCCAATTCCGAATTTCGCAGCCAAACGGCGAAAAGTAAACCCCGCCTCTTCTTTTCGAATGCCTCGTTCAAACCGGACTTTCATTTGTGGATTAACTTTTCGGATATTTCAACTGACGAGAGTTTTGTCCAAATATAAATTTTCATCAGATACTTCAGGCTTGTCCACGAAACCTCGCTGCTAGACTTTGACGTCAGTTGTGCAAAATATCCGCCGGCGGTGTGGGCCACCAATATCGCCACGTGATTGCAAAAATCAAAAAGTACGGGTTTTATTTCATCAAACTGAAAACATGACGGGTTACAAAAAAATACATTGTCTTTGCCACTTCTTTGGTGCAGACATCTATACTGAACCTTAAAAGCCAGGCCAGTCGAGACTGAAGTAAATAAAAAGGAAATTTAAATAGGCAAGCCCGTTTCGGTTGGAATTCGGGTTTCTGGAAATCGCACCTCGCACTATGGACCTTAATACATCATCGTGAACGTCCCAAGCACACCGTTCTGGCATAACCTTTATGAGAATCTATGAGATGAGTATGGACTTGAGATATTGCTGGTCACACACCGAAATCTGTGTACCCGAACAATCCGCACGCGGATCCTTGGGTTGTTGTGAGTGGGCTGGTCAGCTGTGCCATAAAAGTACTTGTGTGATGCAAGTTTCTGATATGGCAACGATCATACGTTAAAGCCCAAAACCTAGAAAACCCACACAATCAAAGCGACAAGCAACATCCGGGCCATCAGAGATCTCGGCAATGATTATCCGTCGCATGTCGAATCGGGCCAATCCGGGACTGCACACTGGTTAATATTATTGCATCTCTTCGCCACCAGTTCTTAAATACCAATAAACCAACAACCTTTTTATTGCATTTCTCTAATTTCTGAGATCTATATGTATTTGCTAGAAACCTTGCTTCATTTGCGTCCTTATCGGTAGTGACTCCACAGGCTCCACGTGATGAATCACTCACTCGTGCGGCTGTGGTCAGCCCTGCCCACGGGAGTGGCTCCACTGACCGTCCATTAATTGTCTCTCTTTGTGTGCTTGTCTCTTCGCCTCCTAGTCATCTGATTTCTTTCATCTCTCATTTGTCTCAGTAGACCGTCCACAATTCTTATCACATCATCTCGCAAATCTTCTAGTCACCTTCTATGTTATTCGACCTCGCTTAGCTAGTAGTCTGTATAACTCTACTGCAATGTCCTGCTTCATATATACGGCCCGAGAACCAATTACTGCCAACGGGCACGTGATGACACGACTCAATACTACCTTCCCACACCAAATACCAAGTAGTGGTTTTTTTTTTCGTTCCCTGTATTCCTGGATGTCGTTCTTTGTTTTGCCATTGGACAGGGCCACCGGGCGTGACCTGCGATCGCGGATCCGAGGATCAGCAGATTCCGACAGCAGACAGTTTTGCCCCCATGGCCGGGGTCACGTGCCCCGGTTCTCCGGAAAAGTGCCAGATTTGACTGTCCTCATTTCCAGTACCCCAACATGCATTCCTCTTTTTGGCTATATCATCCCATCCTCAGGCTACTGGTGCAAGCACCAATCAGCCAGACCAATTTTCACCAGACGCAGCCAGGGCGCCCGGGCCGCTAGCTGCAGTACGCGCATCACCGGGCTTATCATCGCGTGCGAAAAAAGCATTACGAAAACCGGGCCCTTTTGTTTAAAGGAGGGGGAAGTCGCACAGCTACGCGGCAATCTTTGCACATCTACCATTCTTATCACCACACGTTGTTTAGGCACACTTTCGCTACCGATTTTGCAAACCACTCAGCTAGCCTGTACTGCATTACACAAGCTGACACATAGTCATTTCCGTCACGTGACGCTTTGCACACCAGCCACGCGCTCTTCTATCCAGCCATGAAGGTGTTTGAGAGTACGCATTACTTTGACTATTCCTGGGAACAGGTCACGGCAGCCAACTGGCAAAAGTACCCCAACGAATTGGCCACGCACGTGATCAGCGTTGACATCTTGCACCGCGAGATCGACGTGGCCAGGCAGACGCTTCGGACAGAGAGACTCATTGCATGCAAGCAGCCCATTCCCCGGTGGCTCCGGTCCATTGTGGGAGGCGACGAGTGCTCTTTTGTGCGCGAGATCAGCGAAGTGGATCTTGTCACCAAAAAGTTGGTGATGAAGTCCGCAAACATGACCATGAACCACTTGCTTTCGGTCAAGGAGACCGTGACATATAGACCGGACCCCAGCTTGGAGGGCAGCAGGACCGTTTTCGAGCAAGAGGCGGAGATCACTGCGTTTTCCAGCTTCAAGAGCATCTGCAACAAGATTGAGGACTGGTCCGTGGAGCGGTTTGGCCAGAATGCCAGCATCGGCAAGAAGGGCTTTGAGTCTGTGCTCCAGACATTGGCCGAGAAGTGGGACGAGTCGGGGGTGTTTGTCAAGGACGTCGGCTGCACGCTCTTGAAGGAGTTTGACGAGGTCAACGACATGACGCACGAGTTGGTGCATGAGGTCACGGAAAAGACGACCTCGGTGCTCAGCGAGGTCCGCAAGTTGGGGATGTGGCCCCGTAAGTAGGGCCAATGGGGCCTTAAGGAACACCTGCGAAGAGCGCTGGAAGAGAATGAGAAGCATAGGAAGAGAATGAAAATTGGACGAGAATGAAAATTGGAGGAGAATGAAAATTGGAGGAGAATGAAAGTTGGAAAAGAATGAAAGTTGGAAGAGAATGAAGAGCATTGGAAGAGAACGAAAAGTACTCAACGGACTGTAAGATGCTGAGACGAGTATCGAAAGAAGCTTTGACAGGGTACTAAGCAGAGTACGGAAAATGTGTACTGAGAATAGGTTTCCACTAGGAGACCAAGAAATCTCAAAGAGAGCGCTAGTTAAGAGCTCTGAAGAAGATTTCTGAAAATTCCCCAAGGAGCAGTTTGAAGAAGTACTGAAGAGTTCTGGAAAGAAGTTCTAAGGGTCCTGAAGAAGAGTACTGAGGAGAGTTCTGAACAAGAAGCCAAAAAAAAGAACAGAACAAACAAACACAAAAAAAAACCAAAACAAAAGCGACACGGCGACTTCGCTCTCTGATGCAGCGGGACACCCGAGAGACGATGCTCGCGTGCCATGATTTCATTTCACCTGGATTGGCAGGCAAAGACAGCCGATCCCGATCCACACCCCCCTTGTCCTCGCGAGTCTCGCGCAACATAACCACCACCGACACTATTTATTTATCATCACTGGCTGCATTTATTTCCCGGAGGCATTCGTTATAGAACATACAAGCTCTCATAGCACACCACGCACTCGTAGGCGGCACGTGACGCGGCCGTGAGCCCCACGCGAAACCTCATCGCGCGAGATGCCCTACTATGGGGCCTGCCGAATCTGGCCCAGAAGCAGATCTGCAAACTTGCATCCATCGGAATCCACGACCACCGCTTTTCTTCGGGCACTGAAACCGGTGCTTTTTCTTTCGACAGAGTCACGTGCACATTCCCCCAAATTCACGCCTGCAAGCGCCCCCACACCATTGAGTTGAACGCCCCCCCCAGCTCCATACTTTAGAACTTGCACACACCCAATTTCACCGGCACTTCAGCGCCCCTGAGCCTGCAGAGTTGTTCCAATGGCCCTAGATGAATCTTCAGTCAAAATAGAAGACGCCGACTCGGCCTTCATCGGGCAAGATTTCGACGACTTCATGGCCGACATGGAGAGCGATACTGCGTTCTTCTCTCGCAAGCGAAAACACTCCGAAACGGCCGGATTGCCGGCCAATTTCGCCAGGGATTTCGGCACGCTCATTGAAAAAAACTCAGAGGCCGCCGTGCAGATCCCAAAGCTCGAATGTAGCCCCGCGGACCACGTTTCCTTGCCTTCCTCGAGCGCGTCTCCACAAGCCAGTCCGTTTGAAAGCATCGAGCAGTCTGGAACGAGCGTATCCACAGAAGCACAGAACGAGCACGAGGAAAAGAAATTCACGGCCACCGCGGCAGAGCCGGTGCAGCCAAATATGGAAACCGTGGCCATTTTGAAGCGGTCCATGGCCAGCAGCAGTAGACTCATCGGCACATTCACGGCGTTGAAAACCACGTACATAAAGCTCTGCAAGGAGTTCAATTTCCTCTTGGGCAAGTTCAATGAGAACGAGCGCATCAAAATCGAGCTCATCCACGAAAACAACGAGCTCCGGAAGCTCCTTTACGAGACAATCAAGGAGAAGGAGCTTGACCGGAAACAGTACAAGGCCGAGCTTGTTGCCAAGGGCAAATGCTGAGGCAAGGCCACATTGCATAGGGAAGATACGCTTGGAACGAAGATCTTCGCTGAACAGTCATTTAAATTCGCATAGATAAGCACGGGTCCGTGTTACTGTACATATAGACCAACCAATATTCGCTGCTTCTTCAGCCTGTAGTGATCTGTGACCGGGGAATATAGCTATAGTTGAGATGTTCTTGCCCGAGTAACTTTCCAACAAACGCGTCTGTCTTTTCGTGTTAAATTGAACACTCGACCATGGAGGCGCCAACTGGCGTGGCGCTCCGTGACATTTTGAAAGCTCCTGAATTAGACTGCCTCAGAAAGCATTGGTTGTTTTGACGGAAAAGAGACCATCTCAGCTTGATGCACATCACAAATCACGAGCAGATGAAAGAGTGTAAAGAGAATGCTTCTTGAGAGGTTGGAAGCAGATAATTGAGCTGCAAGTGATTGTGTATCTACCCCAAATTCGGATTACCATCACCAATTGTGAATTTTCTTGATACTCGGAAAGCTTTAATATTGCAAAAGAACTTTGATGCACCATACACTAGATCTTTGAATCAAACATTTCTGGGAAATAATCGCCATTTATATTATGTACCCACTACTGCAAATAACTTCTATATCAACTTCCATGGATTTATAAAATATTTCATTCTTCGTGTAGATATGTATACAGAATGGAGGTGCTGGATGGTTCAAGGGCATTGCACTGCTCACCAATGGGTGCGAAATTTCATTCTTAGTAATTTCCAGCAAAGCATGAATTGCCATTTCCCAGAAACATCCAACCAGAAAACCCATTTTTGTTTCAAAGATACCAAGCAGCGCTACAGAAAAACCGGAAGAGAGAAAAAACTCGTTAAGAAAGAGTAGTCGCTGAAAGGCCATCTGCAGTGGTGTACCCTCCAAAATCAGTCAGGAGAACTATAGCATGATCTCAGCTAAAATGCCACTGAGGAGAGCGGAGGGCGGAATGTGACCCGAGTTACCGCATACTAAAAGCGTTGGTTTTGGAATGTTACACTTTTGAAGAAGAAAGGCCGATCACAAAATGTAAGATCTTTGCCAAAACCCGAATAGGCAGAACAGAAAAAGAAAACGGAAAGCTCAAAAGGGCTGAAGCTGCTTTCAGTCAACTTATGTCTGGCGCAAAACTACACGTTTGGCACAAATACACATGAAGCTATCGCTCGTTCGTATTGTCTGATCGTTAAGTTTAGCAAAGTCTCGGGTATGCAAAACAAATGCCATGTACCAATCCACCACAACCTGCGGGCATTTCGTGCACATTTTGCCTAGCTTTTAAATCTGAACATAGCACAAACACCAGGCTCCTTCGTCATTGTTGCTGAAAGCCTAAATCCATGTTCTCTGGATGAACGGGTGTGTTTAGGCCGTTCCGCTCCACTCTGATCCAATCGCGCTGTCAGAGCTTTTACTCGCGGCTCTGCGCGGCCAAGGCCAAAATAAACAATTCTACTAGGCCCAGCCAGCTAAGTCAGCCGGACACAACTCCACTAAAATGCCCGAATCTCTCACCAGTGACCAAGCCAACATTCTTCTTGAACTCGAGATGATCTTGAACACAGTGCACGTGATCAACGAGAACCTCGAAAAAAGCATTGGCTTGCTTCGGCTGGATCCACACTCGGCCCTGGCGTCGCTGGCCCTGCTGCCCGCGTACCGCGAACTAGTGAAGAAAAACACGGCTCGCCTTACTGAGATTTTGGCGGTGCTTGACCAATTGCAGGCGACTTAGGAAAAAATTTATGGAAGAACAACAAGGCAAATAACCAGTTAGTCTAGGAGGCTTATTTTTCCAAGTTGATTGTCGTTTTCTTCTAGCGAGGACTTGAATGTATAGGGCCTCATGGTGGTTGAAATGCCCCGCGCACGCGGCCCCAAGCTCACCGATGGATACATTCCTATCAACCATCTATTGTTAGGGCCGGCACAACACTTGCAGCACTCGCTTTGTCTTGATATTTTTCTGATTTATTTTTAGCTAGAAGAGGCCTACGGATCCTTGCTTTGCTCTTTTTCAGAATGGACCGCCAGCTGACAGAGTATATCGAGAAGTACCAGGAGGCCAAGTTGCATTCGCTAAGTGCCCGTGGACAGGACCAGGCTCTGGACTCAGACACAGAATCTTTGCTGGAATTGCTCGAGGAGCTCGAGAATGAAGACGGAATAGTCGCCAAATACAAGGAGCAGCGTCTCCAACAACTCCAGCAGAATATCAGGTCCATTGATAGGGCCGCAGATGTCTTGGGCGAGGACGTGGGCTGTGTGAATTTCATTGGAGCAGAAAAAGACTTGATGGGCGCCGTGACACGCACGGAGATTGCCGTGGTGCATTTCTACCAGCCCACGTTCTCAAAATGCAAGACCATGAACGAGAAACTCGCGGTGCTCGCCGAGAAACACCTTGCCTTGCACGTGCTTGCGATTCCGGCGGAGAAAGCGTCATTTCTCGTGTCTAAGTTGAAGATCAAGGTGCTTCCTTTCGTGGTGGTGTATCGGCACGGACAGGAAATCGCCAGAATCGTGGGATTTGAAGGCATAGGCGAGTCTGAAGACGCAGTGACAATCACAGCACTAGAAACCAGGCTCATTCAATGCGGGGCCATCTCGAGAAGAACTATTAATACCGGCACAATCTCTCGGCCTGCTGCCGTGAAAAAGGAGGACTCCGACGATGACTGGTTCTGATTTCTGCACACTGGTGCGTTGCTGACTGTGCCAGTTGTTTACTGTTTCCCGATGCCCATTTTGCCAGTAGTACCCAGCTTAAGGAAATGCTGCATTCAAGCGTGCCTGATACGTGTAAATTAGAGGCCCACTGAGACATTGTTGACGAAGTGGAGCATGGCCATCTCCAGGTTTTGTGCTCGAAGTCAATGGAGGAGAAGCTAGACCACAATATTTATTTCCCCAGAATTTTCCCCACGTGGCATAGTCAACCAAGTAGAGTCTTGAAAGTTGGAAGATGTGCTTCATAAATAAGTGAGCTCGACTCATCAAACCGTTCAAGAGCAAAGACAGAAAAGCATGACGAGCCAGTCCTTCAAGCGTTTCCAGCTCATCCGCAGGATACTTCGAGATGGAATATCGCTTACGGCAGAATATGCAAGAGAGGCCCTTAACGGGATCTCGTCGGATAGCCCATAGAGCCGTCTTCTATTATTTAGCACGCAATCGCCCACTTGGGACATGAGGAATTTGCAGACTAGTGTGGGCACGATATAAGATCTGCTTTGATATGTGCAAGTAGATTCGTGGGTGCGAAATTGTAAGGGTATCCGGGGCCTGGATCTCAGAGATGACTGCGGGGTGTATCTGGAGACGCAGTGGCTGCAGATGACAAGGCGTTTTAAGGAGTTTGAGCGATTGTGGACTAGGACCAAAGGGTTGATTTTGCAACCTTTCGAACTGCGGTCGCACCGCAGCTATACAACCCAGAGATTCGCATTATATAACTTCAATTTGATGGGCTGTTGTGGTTCAGCCCTCTGCACTACGCATGAGAGAAGCAACAAACTTTTTTGAAAATGTATGCCAGAAAGCCTAATAAGGAGCGTTTCGGGCCGCTGTCGTCTGTCTATTGGGATTACTAGAAGAGGCCAAAACCACACGTGATTGGAGGAGACAGCAGATATGCGATTCGTGCCGCCTGTGGGGAGCCCCACCAATTTCGCGGGTGTTTCTTACTCTAATCTTCCACTGCAGCGGACAGCAAACTCATATTCCCCGAAAGAAATAAGAGATTTAGAATCGCCGGTTCCTCATGAAAACGGCAGACCGTGACCAGCGCAAGGGCTTGAGCCCTAAGCACCATGCGCAGGATGGCGCAGGGCGTGCGCGGCTCAAACCCGCCTGGCCGCGGCGAGGCATCGTGAAAGAAAAAAAAAACCATTATATTCTCTTCCTCCCCAACCTTATTGGTAAGAAAGAAGCACACTTTTTTGCAGACAAGCCAGTATGCAAATCTTCGTCAAGACCTTAACCGGTAAGACCATCACTTTGGAGGTCGAGGCCTCCGACACCATCGACAATGTCAAGGCCAAGATCCAAGACAACGAAGGTATTCCACCTGACCAGCAAAGATTGATCTTCGCTGGTAAGCAGTTGGAGGACGGCAGAACCTTGTCGGACTACAACATCCAGAAGGAGTCCACCTTGCACTTGGTGCTCAGATTGAGAGGTGGTGGTAAAAAGAGAAAGAAGAAGGTCTACACCACCCCAAAGAAGATCAAGCACAAGCACAGAAAGCACAAGTTGGCTGTCTTGACTTACTACAAGGTCGACAACGACGGTAACGTCGAGAGATTGAGAAGAGAGTGCCCAACCTGTGGTGCCGGTGTCTTCATGGCCAACCACCCAGACAGACAGTACTGTGGTAAGTGTCACACCACCTTCAAGCTCAACGCTTAAGCGCGCGTTATTCATTCACTTGATATAGCATAAGTATACGTGTTGTTCTTAGAGTCCTTGTAAATTTTGTAGTTGTGCCCGGAGAGAAGCGGGGGATATCAGAACATTGGGTTTTCGGTGAACCCGATAGCCTTGTCCCGAAACTTTCGCCTTTGCGTCTGTTGCGGTTTATCACTGCCTCGGATTGGTCCCAAAGAGAGTATGCGCAGTAAATGCCAGAGGCTGAAACGCGTTCGCAAGTCTGTCTATATTGCGGTGTATTCTCGGCTCCTGCTCGTCTTGGCTACGGTCTCCAACATCATTTTTTGCACTTGCTGTGCTTCGTTCACGCGGATTGAAATCCCGCCTCTGCTTTATTTGCGAACTCTTATTTTACAAGATATCAGCTGTGTTTCGGCATTTTGATGTGTCTTTCGAAGTTTTTCAGAAGTCCTTATGAATGCGCGGGGCCGAATAAAACGTAGCAATATGAGCCACCCAATAGATCTATCCACAACAGCTGCAAGCCGTATTTCTTGTCTCAGTTAGCTCGCCACCAACCACGCCGATTTACATTTTTGCTCTCGCAAATACCGATTTCAATTGGCAGATTCGTCCATAGGCATTGCCAGTGCCTTGCCAGACATGCTCTAATAAAGCTGCGGATGTGGCCCCAATCTGGCGCGCGAGAGCACGGCCCCATAATTTGCGGCCAACTGCGTTTGATACAGCACACCCGAAATTCTCGGATCTATGTTCTTGGCTAGAGGGCTCCTCCAAACTTGACTACTCGCCAGTACCAAAAACGTCGTAGTGGAGGTGCCTGCCCAAGCAGCATTATGAGGTGTCTTTTCGCATCCGCGCCTCTCTTGGCCCAGCACCTTCATGTCGCAGCACCTGGCCCTAAATAGGCCCGGGCCATCAAACCGCGCGCGACCCAGAACGTCCCTGGCGCTATTCTACAAACCTCCGGCTTAATTAAATCCTGTCAAAATACCGGCGTTGCCATGAGTTTCGTCATCTACGACCTCGAGGATGATGTGCGGAAACTACTCAACATCGACAACTTCCTCGACGGGCTCACGCCAAACGATTTCGTCGAGGAATTGAGCAAGGATCATATCTTGAAAGGGGCCGAGGTGAACAGCCTTGAATATTTGGATCCCAAGCCCTATATCCGTACGTTCGAGTCGACGCTAAGACACCTCAAAAACTTGGCCGAGCATGCCCAAGAGCTGCGCGAGTTGGCGGCAAAACAGGTCGAGGAGTACGAATTAAGCCACAGTAAAAGCGTGCTAAAACTAGCGTCTGAAGTGGAGCAGATCGTGGCGCAGTTCGGCGGCTTGGACACAGAGATCTCGAGCATCACGGAGAAAATTGACCCTTTGAACCAGGCGTTGAACAAGATCACCAACTCGCGCGATCGGTCCATCGAAACCATCTTTCTCATCCGCAGCTACCATGGATTCTACACAAAAGAAAAGTACGAGCCCTTGGAGAAGTTGCGCACAGCAAAAGACACGGAGCTGAAGATGAAATGCGCCAAAACTGTGAACAATCTTCTCGTGTTGGCGAAGAAAATCGACCACCTCACCGGGAACCTCCCGAAAGTGAGCAAATGCGTGACTACCATCGAGAAATATGGCGAGACGATGGAGCAGGCGCTCGTGGAGCGGTTCGAGATTGCCTCTGAACATAACGATTTCGACGAAATGTGCGAGATCGCAAAAGTCTTGTTTGATTTCAATGGCGGCAGTAGCGTGGTGCTGGCTTTCATGAACAAGAGCGATCTCTTTTTGGAGGACTCCCACGACGACGAGGGGGAAGGTGTGTTCTCCATCCTTGAGGACGAGGCACTTTTGGAGAATTTCGCTGACCCGAATCAAGAGGTCCATGACATCTTTGCAAACGAGGCCACCGACCATCTCTTGAACAAATTAAAAGTGTCCGTCAAGGGACAGGCCCGCATAGTGCAACAAGTGTTCGAAGTGCCCATTCCCGTGCTCAAAGTCATGGTTCAGCGTGTCTATGCGCAAATGATTCAGAACCGGGTCTCGACGCTTTTGCTGTTCTCTCAGCAAGCCGGCCCATTGGCTCACGTGCGAATCTTGCATGCCTTATACGTTTTGGTGGGCGATTTCACAAAAGACATGAAGGATTTCTTCGTGACAAACGACTTTGACGACAATAACGAGATCGGCTCCACCCTTGACCAATGCTACAGCGATCTATTCATCGAGTACATAACGGACGACTCTTTTTTCAAGCTAGAAAAAGAGATGCTTGAGGACATTATTTTCGGCATAGCACAGGAGTATTTGGCGGCTAACGAGAAAGCCCTACAGAAAAAGGAGTTGGAAACCAGGCTTCAAGAATTCGACAATGAAGCCGCGGCACTCAACATGACTGCTGTTGGCACTCAACAGCCGCATAACGAACGAGGCAGATTCCCTTTCGTGGATAAACACAGGCTTAACAAGTTCAAGGATTTTGTAAAGATGCGCTGGCCCGAAGGATTAACAAGCTCCAAAGACGTATCTGAACCACATATGAAGAGCAGGGGTCTCGTCAAGATCACTGACGTCCGTATTGTTTTGCGAATGACAATTGATTCCGTGGCTCGAATCCTAGAGCTAGCGCCTGCCAAGTCGCCTGAATTGTTACTTGAAGTGTTGGAAATGTTGATTTTGGACTTTGGTGGTCTATATATTAGCGGTGGGTTGGAAGTCGCGTACGACAGGGCGAGGCAAGAACTAGCAAGTGCATCCTTGCCCCAAGATCCGCTGTTTGACTACTTGAAAGTTTTCAATCTAACAAGCGAAGTCTTGTTTCTTCTATCTTCATGTATCAAGAAGATCATCTTACCATGCACTGTGAACAGCCCGCCCGTGAGAAGCCGAATGATAAGTCTTACAAACAGCTTCGTGCAGAGGTGTGAGACATCCTTGAACTTGATTCTTGAGTGTTTGGTGGAATTCGTAACGGTGAAATTGAACCAATTCTTGCAAAAGCAGAAGAAGAAGGATTTCTTTTGTGACAGCATAGACGCCGTCAAGGACTACACAGAGGTCTGCGAAGAGTTGTCCGATTTCATTGTCCATTTGCACGCGCTTATGAAAAAAGATCTTAATGGTAGCAACCTCAATAATGTCTTGATCAAGATCGGAATGATCTTGTTGAACTTGTTGCTCGATCACTTCAAGAAGTTCGGAGTCAACTCCACGGGTGGAATTGTATTGACTCAAGACGTGATCAGATACCAATCAGTGATTGAATCCTGGAACATCCCAGAGCTCAGCGAAAGGTTTCAAATTTTGCGTGAGATTAGCAACTTGTTCACCGTGCAGCCTAACTTGATAAACTCGTTGATCACGGAGGGCCATTTGGCCAGCTTAAAGGTCTCAACCGTGAGACAGTACATTTCGAAGAGAACCGATTTCAGCCCTTCATATATGGAAATCATTTTCGGACGCAAATAGCCGGTAAGTAATACACATCAGACACTCCTCTCGTTACATTTTGTTATACAGGGATACCAAGACCAGAACGCACACCACAAGAAATAAGCTGTGAAGAGTGAAAGCAACCCGTCTTTCTTGGAATGACACATTCGCCAGACCGGGTTTCAATACACCGTGGGAAAGTCGGCCAAGTTTTTCCGGGCAGATGAACCACAAGTACAAGCCTGCAAAGCTAGCCACGAGATTCACAAAGTACACTTTCACGCCCAAGTATGGGCTGGGCAAGTAGCACATGGTCGTCTCATAAGTTTTTTCAGTATTCCCAATACCATCCTGTGGGTTGTTCAACGAAAGAAGCTGCACAGCAGGCCTCTTGATTCCGTTGGTCATCGAATTCGTCTTACACGAAATCTCGCGAGCCAAGCGCTTGGTGTTATCTGCATAATCAAGGTGCGTCATATCGCAATAGTCGTGGTCATCTCCGCTGAACACCAAGACCGGCTTGAGATTTCTCAAAATGTCCTCGGAAAATGGGTATTCGATCGCCGTCTGGTATTCGACACCTCTCATTAGTGGAAACGGATTTTTCGACTCCCTTCCGGGGGCACACGTTTCCACGTGCGGGTCTCGATAAAGCGGAACATGCGTGAGTACTACACGTGGAAATGAAGGATCAAGCAGCGTTTTGGCATGCTCCAAAAATTGCCTGGGGGCAGTGTGCACGCGTGGATCTTCATGCGAAAGGGAGATGGTGTCCAACTGAATAAACGTGTGGTTGCCAAGGATGTAAACGTCGTTGGGCTCGCCGAAATACGAGGCAAATCTTTGAGCTACATCTGGGCTCACGTTCTGGAACCCAATGTCGTGGTTTCCGGGCAAGCCTCGGTACGACTTCCTGCCACGTTTCTCCGGGAAAATGCGGCAAAAGCGGTGGAACTCCTCGAGCCAGGGCCCATCCTGCCAGTCGCGCCCGCCATCGAAAAGGTCTCCGATGAAGACGGTGGTGTGTGGATCGAGAATCTCCTGCAAATACTTGTAATTGAGGTAGTGGTAGTTGTCGCTCATTTTTCGGACCAAATAATTGAGCACGCGGGGCATCTTGGGGTATGTGTGGTCATCCACAAGCTGGGGATCAGCAAGAAAGGCCACTCTGTGTGGAGCCACCAGGGCCTGATCTCCCGTCCAGTTTTCCCATTTCTCCCATTGGCACGTGTCCATGGCTGTTCTGACACGTACGCGCTCAAAAACATGGACCACCAACATCCAATATGTGGCGAGAATGAGCATCACTCGAACACAGAAAAAGCGCTGAGGTTTAGAACTGTTGGCAATTGTGGGGAAGCTTTTGTCCTGGGCCAGAGCTTGGGCCGGCGCCCGCGTTTCGGTGCTTTCCAAATTTGGCCCTGGTGAGAAATCGGCTTTTTCGCTCTTGCCAGGCTCGCCTTTCGAGTGTCTTTGACGAATGTCCATTGTTTCTAGGCCGCTGAAGACTGGCTGTTGAAGAGGAGATATTCAGAGACCGATATGTTGCGCGCCTTTCTGGATCTTGGCCTCATACGGACTCGCGGCCTGCTGCGCCAATATAGACACAGCCAATAAATGGGAAGCGAGATTCACCTATTGCGTGCCATTTTTTTTCTGGAAATCCGTCAATTGCCATTTCGTGCTTTTCGGGGCTCTGGGAAGCCACCAGGCCACCAGAAATGGGGCTGTGTGAGAACATACCCTGGCCCTATATTCATGCCTATTGAGGCTGTTGGCCCTAGAGCGCCCTAGGCCCTATACGCTTCGCGCGTCTTGCGCCTGGCTGGGGCCTGCGCGTGGCCAGTGGCCCGAGTCATCCTTGTGAATCTTTGCCCTCTACAAATTTCCAATACCCACGCCTTCTTGGTTTTGCTCCGGTCCAGAAATGCCCGCGCCAAACGAAAAAAGGCGGAAGCTTCGGCTGAGCGACGAGCAGACGAAAAACACCGCGTTGCTCTATAATTTTGACAACCTGAACAGGCTCTTGTATGGAGATGGCCGCATCTGTATCGACCGTGATAGCCCAGCCACGGGCGAAAACCAGTACAAGTATTTTGGCGAGGCCAGCTGGGCGTTCAATAAAGTGGTCATGCCAAAGTTAGGCGTGAGACAACGACAGAGCGAGTTGCCGCGCCGCCGACGCCGCAATCACGATCCGTTGGAGGACCACGTCTATGAGATATTCCACAAGCGAATGAAAAAGGACGAACGGTCCCGAACGCTTACAGACAGGGGGCGCATGTATTTCGAAATGGACAACGTGAAATCGCAACTCGAGCTTCTTCTGCAGCATGACTGGAACAAGCACTTGCCGCAACTCACTGTAATCAAAGACCGCAGCGACGTCGACGAGCTATTGGCGAAAAGACAGGCCACCATCCGCGAACTCGAACGAACGCTTGCAAAATTCGCCAACTGGGAGTCCCGCACCGCCAGTCTAGCGGCCGAAATAAAGAGTTACGAAGGCCATCCAGCGCAGGGCAAGAATTTCCAGGACGACGACGCGGATGACGACGACGAATCCATTTTGGACAAACCATTGGAGCAGTTGGCCAAGCAAAGGCAGCAAAGCCGCTTGGCCAAACACGGAAGACCCTTTTCCATACTGCTAGGGAACGGCCATAAAATCAGATACAACCCATACCTCACCCCTACGGTGGCCATTGAAAGCTACCTGGAATGAAAGCGAGAACAAGAAGAGCCACTGCCAAAGTCACATGACCGGTAAGGCCCTGACCGAACACTCACTTGCACTAGAACCCTGACTTGTTCGGAAAATCTTGGGCCTGCAAATGTCATGACATGTACGCGGTCGTGAATTGGACCAAGCGAGTGAACAAACCACCAAATGAGCCTGGGCTGGACAATTTCGTTTCCAATGCAAGGTCGCCCAATGGGTAGTCAACGAACGCCACAACCTTTGGCGGCTGTCTCAATTCCACCTCGGGTTTACTGGGCCGGAACCCGTCCATCATTGTTGGCCGAATAGAGTATGATGCTGCCAAGTTGTGCTTCAAGTAAATGAAAGCAAGTGCAGTTTGCAGGAAAACAAAGAGAAGCTGGAGATTCGAGACCGACATCCCTTTTCCATCAACTGAGCCAATTGTTGATGATATCCGCTCCGCAAGATCAATCCCTTCCCCAGTTATGAATCTATCCAAGTGAAAGATTATCAAATAAACCTCCTCCATAGAGGTAAAGTTAAGCACCAGCAAATTTAAAGCCAAGAATATAGCGACGTCGCGGCCCGTAATGGCATCTGCAAGATCTTCCGTTGATAGTTTCACATGGAAGAGCTTGGCCACAGAATTGACGAACTTCTTCTTGGCCAGGTAATTGCCACTAACAATGCGGTAGACGGAACGCAAAAAGGAAGTGTTTTGCAAAAAACCTCCCTGTTCAATCTTTTTTGCGTAATCACATGCCAACCGAATTGCTTCAACATAATTTCTATCAGCAAGAGACTCATGCTTCTCAAAAATCTCAGAGTGTAATTCGGTCGCTATTCTCTCTATGTGTTTTTTAGGTGATGCCTCTAACGCAATTATTGTGGGGATACAGAGCTTTGGATTGGCAAATCCTAATTTGGTGACAATTTGAAGGAAACCAACAGATGCCTCGCCTACCTCTGCTGCATCTTGTAGACAAAGATCAAGGATATCACTGGTATATCTTTGTACGACACTGGAGCATACACCATCTGCCACGTTTTGACTCTTGTCATCAAGAAATGCATCTTTTTCGATCCCTGAAGTTTTCGTCGACTTTACAACCTCGTCATTTTGCTTTACGAGATTCTCATCTTCTTTGTGTAAGAAAGCAGTAAGACCTTTAACAATTTCAAGCTTTGACGATGAGGTTGAAGACTTGAACTCGGTGTCAAGAATATTCAAAATGGACTCAGAAAGAAATAAACGCGGGTGGTGGGTTGCGACGCACAATATATTCTTAATGGATATTGTTTTGGTCACAGTATCAGTACTGGGCTGACAAAAGAATAATAAATATCTTGTGATGAGACTCACAATGCTTTCAGTAGATCTCAAACCAAGATTCGATTTACGGAAGTACTCTTTAGCATATTCAAAATTGCAGTAGCTTCCAAAGCAGCCGAGTAAATGTAAAACCTTCCGAATTTTTGGAGCTTCGGTTTGCGAAACCTTCACATCTGCAAGACACACGAAAGGCCACAAAATTTTCATTGAGGCCAAGACTACCTTTAGCAATGGTAAGGCGTTTGAGATTTTCGAGAACACCACTATGATCTGGACAGCCTCATGTAGCTCTTTGGTGTTGAATTTTGTGAGTCTCTTGAGTAAAATCGAATTTGTTTTGGAAATATACTCTGGACGCAATGCTTTCCTATTAGGCAAGACTAACCTTAAAATTCGTAGAGCGCTGAAGCACAAACGCTCCCTATCAAACAAATCTTCCACAAGGAACGGCAGAAGAGAAATCAACTGATCTTGGCTCACTAATTTTGAGTCACATTCAGCCAAAGCTGCGATGAAGGTAAACGATTCTGCTGTCTGTTCCACCTCAGAGGAATCGGGGGCATCCACAATTCTATCAAATGCAATATCTAAGACCTTGCGTAGATATTCAGAGCGCTTGGGACTATCCTGGGAATTACGAAGTTCCTGGCGGATGAAACCGACGAGAAGATGGTACATATCTCGCCCACCGTTAGTCAAGTGGATCATAACCTCTGAAACTTGTTTGATACTATCAGGTTCAAAGAGCATGTTGCGCAATGCTATTTTTGCGGCTTCCATAATAGACAGTTCCTCATCTTGGAGACGTTTGAGGATGTTTGAAGCAGAGAAGCTCATCACCTCTAAGCTATCACTGGCGCCAAATACATTTTTCATGATCTTCATTACGCGCTTGCGGACCAGGATACTTTCGTCGCTCGACCTGTTTCCGATTAGGATGTGATACTTCAGTATGAGTTCCTTGCTCGAAAACATATACTGACCCAATAGATCAATGACAGCATCTTTAGATAAAGCAGATCCCTTTGACAAGATTTTGGATATCGAGGAATTGATCCTTTGGTGGAGTAGTATCTTTGGGTCTCGCGTCACGAGTGGCGAAAGTACTCGGATTGCCTTCGCTGCTAATTTCACTTTGGTAGATTCCAAACTGCTTGTGAGCAAAGCCAAGAAGTCATCGTAGATTTTGTTAAAAGTTGTAGCGAGTGTGAGCATTCTGTAAGATTTACTCAAATTCAGTGAATTGACCAGAGTTTGACCCGAGTGGCGAGAATTTGTGAGAATTGACAAATTGAGATCTAAAACCTCTATGATGTCCATAGAATCTTCAGATAGGTGTTTAGCCTCGGAAGAAATGACAATAAAAAACTGATTTTTGTCTTGCTGTGCAACAGAGTCAGCATAAAGACCTTCGTAAAAGACTATTGTTTTCAAAAGCTGAAATTGGAAGAGCGAGCTGGCATGAGGCGTTTTTGTTGTTTGCATCCTAAGGTGTTGTAGAACACCTTGATGATAGCCACACAATCTGGAAAAATCTTCCTTGTCGTCCGGTTTTAAAGTATCATTATCTTTGATACGCAACTCCAAGCACTCCAAACCAAATTTACCAATTATCTCGAGCAAAAATGGCTCTTCTGCTGCATTGAATTTTTGCGCATTCATTGAAGAAATCAAAAACTGAATTATGATTGATATTGCTGTTTCGGCTCCGGGCCATTGAGGGTGAGACATCATGGCACATAAATCCTCCACGAGACCCAGAAATATGGATTTGTGAATAGACTCAGCTGCTGACATTCGACCACAAAAGAATTCTGCTACCTGATTAGCAATACTAAATGAATCATTTAGAGTCAGGTGGATCCCGGTCAAAATGATGTCACGTTTTACATTAGTGGAGCTAATTGGGTTGTCACTCTTGGGAAGTGAAAGCAATGAAGAAACCTCTTTCTCATAAATTGAAGCGTCAAAACTCTGGATAAGTTCGACTAGGAAGACAGTGAAAAACAGGATGTTGACACCACGAGTGAGAGGTACATCACGCACTAGCCCTTTTTGATGGGCCAACTTGCTGATATTGGACAACATTTCATTGACAATGAACAGCCGTTGAGTTGGATATTTCTTGAAAATTGCACGGAGAACTCCAACCATGGCTCTTCTCAATTGCTCAATTTCTTTCACTCTCCCATCCACATTGATTGCACTGACACACATGTATTCCACTCGGGTCAATACCTGATCGTCCGCGAGGTTCATGGTGATTTGTAGAGACAACTTCTCTAAACAGTCAATCGCTTCACCAACGACGGTTGTGAAATTATTTGAGACAACGATTTTGGGTAAAACTTCCGAGAGATTCTCAATAATGCAGTCTGTATATGATTGCAAATATAATTCTCTATGTTGCGTGTTAGTGTTGAGAATCATCAATAGAATAGAAGATGCTTCAAGTGATTGACGAATGACCAGGGTCTCGTTGTTTTTAGAAAGGCTCCACGCATGACGAATTGTATTGTAACAGAGGGTCTGAATCACTTTAAGATAGTCCGCATTACAATCAACAAGAGACAGAGATTCAGCAAGTTCACACAAATGCCTGCCAACTTGTCGTAGTCCTTTTTGTGTGAGAATCATTCCAAAGTCATCAGTCGTCAAGGTGCAATCGAGATGGCTCATTGAAAACCGGGAAGTTCCTTCGGGATCTGTCTCAGTATCCGAACCATCATCGAAAGCAATCTGATCAAGTAAATTGTAAAGGGCAACGAGTCTTGAATCTTTGAGTTTCGAGCGATCCAAAGTCAATCTTTTCCGGCCGATGCTTGAAATACTTGGCTGATCCAAACGAGGTCTTTTTCGTTTGTTATTTTGGGCAGCAAGCTCCTGGTCAGCCTTTTTTTTGTAATAGCTCATGTGTTGCAAGACTTCTTCTCTCAGCTCCGAGCCGTCGAGAAGTTTGAGACGATCCTCTGCATAATCTGGGAGATGAAGGTCGTTTCCAAACTCAACAAGATCATTTTCCTCAATACAGTCAGCATTGGTGTATAGACCCTTGTATAGTTTGGAGATGGGAGGGAGTTCGGGCGGCTCGTTGTTTTCGCCTGCGATCACGGGCCGCTTGAATTTGAGCAGATCTAGCTCTGAATCATCAAAGTCACGGAATGTGGCCAGGAGTCTGCCCATCAAGCCGTCCACGGCTTCGTTCCCACGCTCGTATTCTTGTTCAACCAAGTTTAACAAGTTTTCAGCCCGTGCAGGGAGAAAATCTTTTGGTTCAAGGGCCTGTGGTTGCACGCGTGAGAAAGAGACTAGTGGAGCAAGGTCTTGTTTTGGGACCAAGTGATAAAGCGGAGTCACACCGAGGATCTCCTTCAAACTGGGCGACTCCATGATGTGTATGGGTTTCGTGTAACACAAGTTAGTCTCTGAAACGAGATCTTGGTGTTTGTACGGAAAACTTGCAAATGGGTGAGATTTCAGGTATCGCCTTTTCTGAGAAGCAGTGCAGATCCAGCAGGCCCTGTAGGCCCTAGACAGAGGCACAAAACGCGGGTCCCTCCTAGGCACAGGCGGATGTTAGGGCCTGCGCGGCCCGAAGACAGGGCCACGTTCCAAAGACTGGGTGCGAAATTCTAGGGCCTCGCGGCTGCGTTTCATTAGCCCACAGATCTCCTGATTCTTTATAAACCTTCGGAAGCATGCTGCAATCAAAAGTCTGGTTTTGCAGTTGCCATGCAAAATATTCTACTTCTCCTAAGCAGATAGGACTGGAACCCGTTCCTTTGTAAAATCACCGTCTAAGTATTGTTCGGTGGGCCTGAGCAAAGATAGACACTGAGGCGTGGCCACCCAAGTAAGCCACATATTTCTCATCATACTTTTGCGGTCATAAACGTTAACGTAGGTGTCGTCGGTGTCTGCCAGCGGCCGCACGTAGTTGAGATACTCTCTTGTGGTCAAGTTGTTGGCGGTCAAAAAGATGTGAAAACCGAGGAGCATTAACGGATAGACGCTGGCCAGGCAACCAGCAAGCGCTAGAAAAAACGTGGCCGGGGACTGCGAGATGGATGCTTTGAAAGAGTTCACCAAAACACCGTCTTCAACCACATGGCTGTACCTATACCAGAAACAATGTAGGAACGTGAACGTGGCCAAGTACACGCTTGTGATCACGCATGTAAGAAGAAACCAGAGAAAATAGCGGTAGTTTCTGTATCCAACACAATTGTTGAGGAACACGCAATGATGGTCGTGGACCAGTACACACGAATTGCACACGGCACAGTGGCTCATGCGTGGCGCCCGCCAGATATGGCAGGTGGCGCAGTACTTAACCGTGACGCCGTTCACTCGGTCACTAAAGTATGGCAAAGACACGGTGTTGAAATATTCATCGGGACCGTTTTGCCTCTCTAGCAACGAAGCATCGAAAGGCACATGGAGGTTCCGGGGCTGGATTCCTGGATCGAGCGTCGCTGCTTTCACAAAGAACATTGCGGTTAGAAACCATAGGTAAGCAAACATAACCGGCACCGCTGGGCTCAAGTGGCTCCAGGTCCACGGTGCTTCATATATGAAAAAGAGTACGGCACAGGTAATCATCACCAGTGCCACGATCACATTCAAAGGGAGCTTTTTTCCTGTCCGGAGCCGCCCGCCACAGAGGTACCATGCACCCATGTCCTGGTGCTTTTGTACCTGGTAGTTCTTGAGCTTGGAGGGGTCTGAATCTATCACATAGTTGGGGTCCGTGAGAAGCCAGTTGGCGACGAGCTTATGAATGATAGACACGCCGGGCCGGAAGACAAATGGCAGCCTGGCACGTGACTCGAGCATCGGGTGTTGCACTGTGGTGTGATGTATTGCACTTGTCAAAGCAAGGATGGTATTGTGTGGTGGATTGCACACCCGCTTATCGGCCGTGCACTGATCCAATATCAGTAGAGCAGATGAGCGTTTTCAGATCCCCCAGTTCGGACGTTTTTTAAACGTGCAGAGATAGTAGGAAGAATGGTGATCGAAATGTATAGAGGACTACAGGCCCACGAGTTGAAAAGAATGATTTGGCCGAATTTTGAAGTAAATGGCCAAAGATCAGTGAAAATAGGCTGGAGGTTTTGGGCCCAGTTTCTATGCGCGTGAGCACGGGCCCGGTGCGACTGGCCCTAATAATACGGGCTGCGATTATGGCATTAAATGGCAGACGAGTAGGGCCAAGCGTCTTGCAAAATCCCGATTATGGCACTACATGACAGATGAGTAGGGCCAAGCGCCTTGAATAATTCCTATTTCTGCTCTCTACGCTAAATTAGATGAAGACGTGGAGTTGCTTCTCCGTCGCTGAGGCTGTATTGCGGTCGAAATGTTGTGGAATCAAGCCATCACGAATCCAGTTCTAACAAGATGGATCAACACTGTTATCAGCACGCCGAATGCTGCCGAACATCCTGCTGCATTTTTATCAGATAAGGGCTCTCGAGCCAAAGTATTAGGGAGTTGTTCCAACAAACCAACTGGACAGTGAACGAGAACATCAGTTTCCATGTGGCTGGAAGATCACGCGCCCTCCGTTCTTGATCCCAAAACAGAATCATGATTCCGTTCTAATTCTAAAAATTGCTGAAAGACGTTGGGCCCGACGCGGGCAGAGTCTGCCCTGGCGTGGTTTAATTGTTAGCCGTACAAACTATGAGCTAGCTTTCCACTATCGCTATGGCTATTTACCCACTTGCTCGTCTGAAACCGAGTATCTTCTAAACTAGATTTGAACCCATGAATTCACCGAGTCGGTTTTAAGCAGGCGTTATGCTGGATATTATTTGGATCGAGAGTCCCCGGGTCAGAAGAGCTCAGAGGGTCTTGCGGCTTTCGCAGCCGCATGGCGCAACAGCCGCAACTGATGCCTAATGGAGGTTGGAAGTAGAGGAGGCAGAATGTGCAAGAGGCTGACTTGAATTTTTCGTAACAGAAATGTTAGGTGTTTGTTCAATGGGATCTGAAACAGCTGTGTTGGGCCTGAATGTCCATGAGGTCATGGGAGTCAACAAGCGGGTCTGAGGCGGCACCTGGTGCCATGATGACCTGGCCTCAAATGCCCCATATATCAAATGGCCCTTTACTCGAAATGGCCTTGATGTGAATGGCCTTGAAGTGAAATGGCTTTGGATTGGAATGTCCCCAAACTGATTTGGCCTGAATCCAAAATAAGCCTACACTGGAATTGCTTCTACTTTCAAATAGCCTAAATTTGATATGGCCCATACCTTGAAATGGCCCATACTTTAAAATGGCTAAATAGAAATGGCCCTTCACTTTCATTTGGCCTAAATTTGAAATGAGCATACATTGAAATGGCCCTACTGTAAAATGGCCAATACTTCGAAATTGATCCCGAAATGACCTTAGTTTGAGAAGCCCCCAAACTGAATGGCTTTTATGCGAAACGGCCCTACTCTGACATGGCCAATACTCCGAAATGTCCTTTGCCTGAACTGATCCTGAAATGGCCTCAATTTGAGAAGCCCCCAAACCAAACGGCCTTAATTCAAAACCGCCCGCTCTGAAACGGCCCTGAAGTGGCCTTCCTTGAAAACGGCCCCTGCCCTGAAATGGCCCAAGCTATATGGCCCTCCAGACGGGCCGCACCTCGCTCCTGCTTACGGTATGGCCCCGAAAAAACGCGCACTGCCCTAGACATATCCGGCCCTAAGGCCAGACCCCATATCTACAAGCACCACCCTTCTCGCCATGTTCACCCGAGGCACGCGTATTCTAGCGCCTGCCCGCGCCCACATGCTCAAACACAGCCCCTGTGGACGTGGCCGCCAGGCCGCCAGCCCCATGCAGGCCCGCCAGCTCACTCTCAGTCCCGGGGCGGCTGGGGCTCTTCGAGGCTACGGCACCATCGTCAATATTTTCGCCGGGGTGTACTTCGGTGGACTCGTGGCGTGCGCCAGCTCGCTTTATTTCTTGTACAAAGACGCGGACTCCCGGCAGGAGATTCCTTTTCTGCTCAGCCTCGAGGACCAGATCCTCACCGTCAAGGCCATCGGCAAAGACGACGTGTTGAAGAGCCCGCGCCATGCCGTGAAGCACTACCGGCGGCTTTTGCTCAACATGGCCAAGGCGGAAACGCCGGGGTTGCAGTTCGACGAAACCTTGCCCGACGGCACCATCAACTACGCCGTGCCCTTGTTGCCCGCGGACGTGTTGGTGCAGCCCAAACACGCCGAGTTGTCCAACTTCTACATCGACATGGTGTTGCGCTACTCCAAGGCGTTGTTGGCCAAAAACCAGCCCGACACGTCCGTGGCGATCTTGAAGGCGGTCATCGACAACGACGACATTTTCTATCGCATAGGCGACGCGGAGCGCATGGGCCAGTGCTGCCGCGTGTTGAGCGCAGTCTGCCCGTCTGCCGAGGACAAGGTGGCGTACTTGCAGCGCTCCATCCACATGCTCCAGCAGAGGTTCGGCAGTATTCTGCTCGATCTGCAGTATTTGCTCCAGGACAGGACCACCATCTCCAACGAGCTAGTGTTGTCGTTGAATGCGTTGGCGTTTGCCTATGCGCTGCAGGCACAGGCGGCGCCACGGCGACAGAGGCCTGTGTTTTTGACGCGGTCCCTCAACATCTACTTGGCCAACTTGAAAGCGGTGTCTGCCGTCAGGGAGAAGTTGGCGCGGGGCGAAATCACCCAGGCCGCAGTGCCGCTTTTCGACTGCCAGCCGGCCAATGTCGAGGCCACAGAGGCCGAGATCAAGGCGCACGTGGCCGAGATTCTCTGGGCGAAAGGCTACCAGAAGCAAGCCGTGGCGTGGGCCGAAGAGCTCGTCCAGGCCACTTTCTACGACAAGGGCAACAACGCCCGGGTGTCCAAAGTGGTTTCCGATACCTTGGACGACTTGATCGTCATGTACGGCAAGCTCAAGAACCCCGCGGCGCAGGAGAGGTGCCGGCAGGCCAAGTCCGAGGTCGCTGTGTTGGAGTACGACGAGAACTCGTGGTACACGAGCGTGATCCAGAAATTTACGAAGGTCATCTACTACAAGGGCCCGCTCGGCATCATCGAGAAAGGCTTGAAGGAAAGGTTCGGCCCCGAGCAGCCGCTTCCTGAGCTCGAGGAGTTTGAGGAAGAGGACCAGGAATAGAGCGGGCACCATTGGCCGCGCGCTTCCTGGAGGCTCGGTCCCCACTGGTTTTTTCGGGCCTGCTCCGGCGCGCACTCTCCAGGGACTGCGAGAGGCAGCAATCCGGAGATCCAGCGAGAGGCAGCAATCGGGGCCGCGGGGCCAGGTGCCGCACTTTCTGGGATCTGGCCCTAGACATGCTCAGGCCACCCGGGGGCGCGCCGTCGTCCTGCACACACGCGCGGCCAATCACACGGCGAGCATGTGTAACGAGAAATCCGGGGTTTTTCGGGTCCTACATAAGGGAGGCAGCTTGGGCCCGGGAATCCTCACAGGCAAACCAAGGCCAACCAGCGAGCACGAAAATTTCGCCCCGGATTCGCCCTCACCTTTTTCTTTCCTGCCCCACAACTTGCACCAAGAAAAACAAAACAATGTCCTTCGTCACCCGTGTCGGTCTCACCCTGAGAATGCCCGCGTCGGCTCCTTTCCTCAAGGCGTCCTTGGCCCGTGGCTTCAAGACGATTCCTCAACCCCCAGGAAACATCGTGGGGACGGTCAATGACGCATACGTGCCACCCAAGGCCCACAAGACGCATGGCTCGTGGCACTGGACCTCCGAGAGAATCGTGGCCGCCGGCTTGATTCCCTTGGTGGCCACGTCCTTCACGTCCGGGACGTCCGTGATGCTCGATACCACCTTGTCCACCTTGATGTTGTACCACTGCTACGCCGGCATGCAGTCGTGTATCATTGACTACATCCCCAAGAGAGTCTACGGCGCGTTGCACTCCGCGGCCATGTACTTGTTGCTTCTCGGCACCGGTGTGGCCGGGTACGGAATCTACGACATCGAGCAGAAGGAGGAGGGCGGCGTGGCCGGCATCATCGCCAGAGTCTGGCACGCCTAGGCGTGCTGCAGAGCCCCTCCCCCGGCGCTGCGAGCCTCAGTCTTTCAGGTTTACGATCAATAAATTCATCAGCATGTTTTCATTCTGCATACGCCTCGCTGCACCGAGAGCTCCGGGCCCCTCATCCGTCGAGCTCTTGTCTGGCGGGAACGATCTTCTCGTCTAGCCATTTGCGTAGGATATCCCTGGCGCGGCCCACGGGCATTGCCAAGAGATCGTCGTTTCCCAACACCCGCAATTTGTAGAGGCCCTCGTTGTAGGCATCACGCAACACGGGCGTGTCCATCACTCGTAGGGCTTTTTTCTCTTCGTCAATCCTCACGCTCACTGCCTGGCAATCGACCATCAGGATCACCACTTGTTCTAGGGCATCGAAGTCAGTCACTAGTGGATGGACCACACGCAAAACCTCCTCGAATGCCACGCTGTTGCCCACGTTACTATTCATCACTGACAAGACCGAAAGCATCACTAGTTTGCGTTTACTTTTCTCGGATAGCTCGATGAATCTGGCCCTGTTCCTGCCGTATGCCGAGCACCCTCCAAAGGCGAAAAGCTCGAGGGTGTTGAGAAGCCTGTGTTCCGAGTCTGTTTTCGCCGAAAAGCCGCCATACTGGTCTACTAGATCTCGGAAGTTATACGAGCCGTCCGCCTCGATGAGGCAGGTCAATTCTGCCTCGGAGATCATGGGACAGTATGCAATTAACAAGCCTTAGAACGGGCCCCAGACTTGCTGGCCCCATGCACCATCGCCCGCGTCCTGCACACGGGCCGTCTGTGCAGCGCCGTGCTGGGATAGGGCCGGTGGGTGCAAATTGGGCCTGGTGAATATTTAGCAAGTCTGCTGGGGATGGTGAATATTAGGCAAGTCTACTGGGGCTGGATGTATAGCCCCGGCTGGTAGAGACCGACCGATAATACGAGAAGGGGATTTTGGGACTTTGAAAAAACTTGTGATTTTAGGAAGCAGGGGCCATGAACGACTGGTGCTGCTGGGTTTGGCAAACTGGCGGAGGGGAGCATATGGGCACAATGCCCTATTGTCCAGGCCAGGATTTGAAAGAGATTCACTTTGGATCTGTATGGTTTAAAAAGATCAAGAACTTTAAAAGGTCCGTACGGACTTCTGCTGTATAGTAGCCAGCTTTGGATTCTTGGAGCAAATTGGTGTCCGCTACTTGTTCTTTCGCCTCTCCAAATGAGATCAAGAATACAACAGCTACTGCTGAGGTGGTCGGGAAGATATACGGATAATTTGGTTTCATATTTCAAGACTTGGGTGCTGCTTGGGCGATGGTGCGTATTTGCCTGGTCATTGTATCTTTATACGCCTTTAGTGCACTTTCCGGTTGAGGTGATTTTGGAAAGCTATAGTGTCGATGAAACATGCGAGAGTTATGTTTTTGAGTCTACATTTTTTCGGGAACTAATCCGAAGCACTGGGTCTTTTTAATTATGAGCTTGGAATATCGTTCACATATATGGTCTACCCATGACAAGTATTGCGCTGAGTATGAGTGTAGATCACAATCCAGCGGAGCAAAGGATGATAACGTAAGATTATGCTTCGCATCAATAAAAAAACTACTGTTTCCGTATTACTCGACACTCTTGAGCTTTATGGACCTCCGATATTTTGCCAGCTTCAGCCATCAGTCACAATCCAGCTTCGCACATCCTTCTTCAAATTTCCTTGAAGCTCTGTTCTAGAGCACAATTCAAAAGCTGGTCCATCTTCACCAATAACGCTCGGGAAGGCTGGAAAACTTCGGAAGTTTGAGGCTAAACTCAATAAAATAGTAGAAGGCCTTGCTGCTGGGGTCTTATGAAGCAGAACGGCAAGGCTGACGGTCTAGAAGAATCACCAACTGGAAATTCCTGTCCTATTCACCCCCAGTCGGGTTCATGTTGAGAATTATCGAAGGCTCGGATCCGTAATTTGTCTTGCTAGCCCTAATCCAAGGTGAAAGCTGAATATTTCGTGAGAAATTATCGATGTATGTTGTGAACAGGCTTATCAAAAAATTAACTCTATGTCATGTTATCCGCTTGTAGTAAGCTTTCGATTCGAAGGATCAAAGATACGAGATGCTTTTAGACAGGAGAGGGACTACTTCTTGTGAAGAACAGCTATTTGGTACAAGTTTACTATATACTCTCTGATCCATCCTTCTGAGACAACCAAGATTCTTGGGCTTGCAGTAATACGGTTAAACACGATTTAGCTTGACAAAGTCTACCCCGAAAACTGTAGATCAAACTGGATCTACAGCCTCCGAAAGCCCGGACCACGCCAAGTATACGCTCGGAATCTTCATTTCTCAGTACACTTCATATTATAATTCGGATATAAAAAATTTCGGCAGACTCCAGTCTGAGACGGACAGAAGCTTTAATTCCAGTTTCAAGCAAAGCATGATTCTTCTTCCTTACCGTGATATTGTGCCGTACAAACATTATGTGACGGACACATAGTTTTGTTGAAGTGTTGATCGAGAACCTTGAGATATGTTGGAATCAAACGCATGAATTCTATGACGACTCAGGCGCATAGCTCTTGGTGTATTTACATTCTACGCTGTCTTCTAGAAGAAACCTCGAGACTAAAGAAAAAATACTCTGAGATAATTTGGACAGTCCGAAATATGTTGGAGTCCCAGCAGGCGTGGTGAGATTCATAAGAGATCTTATTTATACACGTAATGGCATGGATGATAAACCCTTTTTGGGATTGAATTTTATTTTCGAGATCAATTAGCAAATATGTATGGAGACTGCAAAACTGAGACTTCTCCTTGAACTGAAGTTCGCTTAAACCAGAAGCGGATTGCATTTTGAGCGCATATTTGGGGAATTCCAACATCATCAAGTCGGTAGGAATCTTATTCACGAGTCACTGCAATCGAATATTCATGCGCAATTATGAAAGAGCACTCGATAAATCAGAAGCCAATTCTGGGTAGATGTTCTGAACAACACAGTCGAAAAGTTTTATGACTAGAAGCAAATTCATGTCGCTCTTGTTTCCGGAATATTCATTCCCAGTTTGATCGAGCGGAGCGAAGATCCGTAGAATATCTTCGATACCCTTCTTGGTCTCGGCTTCCCTCTGGTTTGTGTAGACACACCAAGGTATTGAGATGTTTAGTGGTAATTTCCGACTCAATTGGCTCCGTAGCAAATCGAAAATCTCGTCACGCACTTCCAAGGGGGTCTTCATTTTGCTGTCTGTCACGGTATCACCAACTTTATCGAACAAGGAGCATCTAAGTGATTCAACCAAATGAGCCAAGAATGCATCTTCGACCAACAGGGAAGCTCTTAATTTTTTCATGAAGTAGGTCTGCGCAAAAACCTCTAACTTGAGTGCTAGGTCTCCAATGGAAAAAAGAACGGATCGAAGAAGCCCCGACAACGAAGTCAAATTAGGAAATTTGTCTTTGAACCCTGTAATTGCGTCAAGCAAGGAAATCATGGGCGAGAAAAGGATGGTCAGACTTGGTTTCAGCGTAGCCAAGCACAGTTGGAATGCCGACAACGCAGTGCTTAGGTCATCGTAAGCTTTTTCGTAATACGCTTTCGTAATATGGGCATGCAGCTCAATCAGGACAGTGGATTCTGGGGATTCCTTCGTATTTAGCTTGGAATGAAGTTTTCCAGACACCCCGCCTATCAACTGGGAGACAAGAAAGTCAGGGGCAGAGAGTTTAGCCAAAAGCTTCTCAAGAACCAAATCCGCGATTAGCACGGACAAGAAGTTAAATACTATTACTGACGATTCGGGACTTTGTTTTGTCAGGCCAGACCCAGAAAATGCTGTTCGTAGAATGTTCTTTACTAGCACTTTGAGGTACGTTTGCTGCATTGTTGGGTCTGCGTCTATTCCATTGGCAGACTGGAGCAGAGGATTTCCCTCAAGAGGCCTCTGCCCTTGCACTGAAGAGCCATATTTATGATTGAAGATAATGTGATTCTCTCTCAAATATCTCTGCCTGAGACTCGGGAGATCAGTCTCTTCGAGTATGTTTTGCGCGTGTCGCTTGAGGATAGCCAGTGCATAGTTGGGGATTCCGTTCTCCACGAGATTATCACGAATATGTTGATCCACAATCTCGGCTAGCTGGTTGATGGTAGCCAAAAGCGCCGGCAGCTCCACAAGGGCCAGAATGCGGCTGGACATATCTTTGATAAACATGCATAATGTCTCGTAGACGTCAAGAACAAAAGCCATGTTTTCTGTGTTGAGCTTCGTACAGTACCATGACAGAACATAGGCAGTCACAAGCGAGCTAAGGAAGATGTGCAATTCGAAATTGAGTTCCGGAAACCGCTGATCCACCAAGATAGGCAAGTACCCAGCCAACTGCTTCACCGATACCTGGTTGTTTTTGATGAGCAAGTTCGCCGGCACGTACAACTTGACAAGCAACTGGAATTCAGGCAGCTCCACGGCCACATGCCGGTCTGCCCGTTTTCGCCGTTGGGTTCTTCGGGTGGTTTCAGAGCCAATAAGCACCTGGTTTTCTTTGAAGGACTGCACTTTTTTTGCCCCTCGCCGCAGTAGTCTCCGGTCAGGCGCGAGCCCGCGAGAATGATTCATAAGGCCCCTTCAGATAAAATGCAATGGTGAAAATGTGCCAGTTTGGGGGGAGCGCCGTTGTTTCCAGAGATTGTCCGGATATCGTTTGCGGCTTGCCTCAGATAGTTATGAGCCGGTGCGCGCTCACCGGGACCGAGACCGATAATAAAGTGACTGGGGCCTGTTGTCAGAGGTATGAATGATTCGAACATGGAATATTAAATTGGGTCAGACGAGGGGCGTCTTAAGCGTCTGAGACAAGAGCAAAACACGCTGGTCCCAAACATTGTATTATTGGGTGTGAAATTCAAGGTGCTCCAAACTCGATGATGGGTCGTGCGGCGCAGCTGAATGGGGCCGAGTATTATTGCTCTACAGTGAGGACAAGCCCCGGCTTAAGCTCTCTTTATCTGTTATCCAGTCGTAAAGGTTTTTCCAGGTTGGATTTTCAAACGCACAATACACGAGTTTTGACACCACTCTGTATGAAGTCAATTGGTATGCCCTCGCTGTGCATTTTGCAACTGGGTGCCCCCACGACCCAATACCATATTCGAGAACATGCGTATGTTTTTGGTCCGGCGTTTCGTATAATTTTGGTCCGGCGTTTCCGCTAAATCGTACGTGTGGCCCAAGTATATTATTGATGTGTGGCGGATCTGCTCCTACGAAGACCAACATCCATGTTCATCGACGAGTGCTTCCTTTCCATGGAACAGGAACCGGCCCCGGGCCAAGAAAGCTGATATTTCACGGACCAGTTATGATGTTTTAGCTGCACAGCACCAGCCCTCCAATAAAACGTCTCTCCTTTGTTGCCTTTCTTGCTTGCACCTGCGGCCCTGTAAACAAACCTAAATCATCATGGCACGACCTGGCTGGACTAGGCTTAATCAACCGGGCCGGATTTTGGCGCGCGGGCCAAGCGGGCATGGCACGTGAGCGCACTGGCAAAACTAAACACCGGATCCATACTTCTAGCTTGCAAATTCCGACATGTCCCTCCCGAAACAAGCCATGGGCTTTTCGAAATTGTTCAAGCTTCCACGACGGTTCCAGTCGTCGGCATGCGCAAGCAAATTCCAGCCTTTGAACGAGGACTATCGCACGCTAAGACACATCCACTTCGATGGCGTTACGCCGTTCGTCAAGGGCCAGGCGATCCAGAACAAAATGGTCAGTGCCAACTTGGACTTCAAGAAGATGGAGGCCACAATCAAAAAAAAGCAAAAAGCATTCGCGCTGCAAGGCTTGCAGCTCCAGGAGTTTGAGCAGGAGTTCATCCAACGCGTGCTTTCCATGAAACCGTTCCCCACCCTTCTCACGTTTGAGTTTGATGGTGTCTACACGGGCGGCAAGCAAATGAAACAGGACCCCACCCTTCCTGAACAAATTGCCGCATTCAACAGGCTCGGGTGTGAGTACCACCAGCTAGAAAGAGGCGGCCAGGTTACGTGGCACGGCAAGGGCCAGCTCACCGCTTATTTGATCATGGACTTGAAGCAGTTTTCCGATTTGACGGTGCGGTGCTACGTCGATTCTGTGCTTTTGAAGGCCGTGCAAAACTTGCTCGAAAAGAGGTTTGGTTTGCCCAGTTTCGTGAATGACAACCCGGGCGTGTGGATGTCGCCGGACAACTTGAAAATATGCTCTGTGGGCTGTAATATCCAGAGGGCCATCACCTCGTATGGTATCGGGCTCAATGTGAGGCCAGACCTCAAGTTCTTGAACACGCACATAATGTGTGGAATGCCGGGCACAAGGGCCACATCTATCCAGGAATTGAAGCCGGAATACAGCGGCAGTATCAAAGAAGTGGGCGAGAACTTTGCACAGGAATTGGCCAAGAGGCTTAATTTGAGTACCATCGAGCACATGAACGGTGCAGACTTGCTTGCCGAAGAGAGCCTGAACGCGAACTAGAACCAACTATCAAAGAGGCGAGCCAAGGTATGGATCTGGATATAGATACTGGTGAACAGGCCACTCCATGAACCCGTGCATGATGCCGGGCAAGATCGACACAGCCGGCCGTTCTGTGAATGCGGATCAAACAATGTGTAACTGAAGACACAACACGGTCTCGGTATTTTCGTTGTTTTTCACTGCGAGACGAGGTTTGATGTCACTCCACGAGGTGCCGTAATGTTGTTGTTGCGAGCTTCATGGTTCCAGTAAAAGGATCCACAGATAAGTAGGTGATGTGTTCAATAGAGGGGTATGTCGTGTCTCTGAGAAGCCTCTTGATCGAAAAGAGCCATGACGAGAAAAAAGACAGTAGAGTTCAGAATGGGGGTTTCGTAGGAAATGGGCCCGAGATCAGCCATGAGCCGTTCCTCATCCTCGATACTCCCGACATAGATTCCAGACCTCCAGATCAGCTTATATTGAGAACTTGGAATGTGACAACGGGCTCTACGGGGCAGGTGGAAGCGATGGCACAAAGCTGAGTTTGGCCCGGTTGTTCTTAAGTTTGGCCTGCGACAAATTGTAGCTCAAACGATCGCTTTTGTGGCGCAAATAGCGCAAGCGGGCTAGGTCCGCCTCGTGCGAAGAGTCTAAGGTGGTGCTTCTGTTAAACCGGCGTTCTCCCCTCAGCGGAGACTGATTCTCTGCGCTCTCCAAACGCACTTGGAGAAGTCGAGCCTGGCTTTCCAAACTTGTCTTTTTCCGACGAAGCTTGGCGAGGTTTTTCTCAAGAAGACTGCTCAACGCCTCGATTTGCGGATGTGCTTCTGTGCTCACGCTTTCTTTGGCTGCCCTGACGTCCATATCAGGAACCACGCCAAGCAACTTCTCGGTATCGAGAACCTTCTGAAGCCGGGGGATATCCTGTATGGTGCGGTCCAAAACTTCGGCAGTGCCTTCCAAAAGTTTTGTGGAGTCTCGAAGAATACGCGCCGTTACACGCATGGGCGAATCTGACATGGTGGGAGTATCTAAGGAAATGGTACCGGTCTTTATGTATGCGATTAGTGCTAGCCGATTCCGATTCGCGTCTGGATATTAGCGTGTTTGTTGTGGAGCGCGCCTTGGATGGGGCCATCAACTCCAACTGAGACACGCAGCAAGCCATGGGAAAAAAACGTGGTTTTCATGTCGAATCATTTTTGCTGGTAATGATCAGATTGCCTGAAGCATCTGCCTCTGGGAAAGTCGTGTTCTAGAGAGTTGTAGGCTGTTGGGCCCTGTTGTACAATGTGCAGGTCCCATAGGGCTAATTTGGTATAGTGAAGTGACAGACACGAGAAACGTTTGTATGTCATGTGTTTGTGTGCTGGTGGACACTAGGTATCGGAGTTTGTTTGAGCATTGAATTTTGATGTCTAGCTTACTTGGGAATTGAGGGTTCCAGCCGAGCTTAGTTGTCGAACAGGTCCAATAGTCTGAAGTGTCTTTTCGACGTAAGAAGTTTTTACATCTTTTCATCATGGCCGCAGTCAGACCTGGGCTCAAGGAGAGGAATGTCCGTCTGCTGATATCAGAGGGTGGAAGTGTGCTTCAGGAACCCAGTGCAAGTAGGCTGGAGACTCGAGAACTTTCAAGAGGCTTGTGCGTGCTCATTTAAATCTTCGGTACAAAATACATGGATAATGCAAGAAGTCACACAGGATTAGTGGCTCCGTCATTGAAGCTTTAGGACTTCTTGGGAAAAACAGCGGTATGAGTTTCCGACACCTGAACAAGGCTGGGGTAAGAAGGCAACATACTGAAACACGTACCTAATATTTGATCGCTGTGCATGGCTCCCATGCATGTCTGTAATATGAGCATCAGCTTGAGATCCCAAAGTCAAGCCTAAAGCCTTCTATAGTAGCCGAAGGTAATTATGGCTTGTAACTTCCCTCTTTGGAATGGATTTTTTGTCTGTTTTCTCAATGAAAAAGCTCCAGCAGCCTCGCCCAATCATGTAAAGCGCCAGGAATCCCAGATGGCGATTGCTAGTTCGGGAGTATTGCCACCTTTTCTCATCCCGCTGCATAGTTCTGAAAGACACGGAACCTGGTCTGAATTTCCAAATTCAAATCTCTTGTCATGCATGCTGGCTTAGGCTTTTGGTGGAGCAGAACAAAGAACAATAATGGCTTCAAGAGGAGCCCGTCAAAGGTTCAATCTCGGGGTTAATAACTAAGGGTTTGGAGCAGTGATGTTATTACTAAACGAAGACTTGGGTCAAGCTATTACAGAGTGTTGGTAGACGTCAATTAGTTTGAACGGCGCTTCTTTGCATTGATGACGCAAATCTGGTAGCCCACGAGGGCTTGATAAAATTTGGAAGGCCGAGATCTGGTCTTTTACGAAAGCTGAAAAAATGAGTCTGATGCCACAGAAATTGCTCATTGCTCTACATGGACTCGACGGTTTTCAGATCATAGGGATACATGGGATTCTGACAAGAGTAAAGAGCTGACCCAACTCTGCTATCCCACTATAGAAGCTCGGGTTTAGACCGCCGGTAGAGGAAGGCTGACAATTCGAGCAGCATTACCTTTCCATTCCCTATTAATTGGGGTTTGCCGTAACGTCTTACTACCTGCGTGGCAAAGGTGCCACAGCCTGTTTGGTTTGTCAAGTAAACGAGGAATCGTGCTCCGACGGAGTCCCGAGAACGGCATGACGTCATCAGGCGATTTTTATCCAAAATAATTGCCATTCCACTTTGGCAATGGCAGTCGTCTAATCTTGACCGACAGGATCTTTTCTATAAAAGAACAGCTGCATGTACAACTAGTGCAAACAGTGCAACGGTTTTGGTGCCAAATTAAAAATAAGAGGCGATAGGGGGTTTCCTTTCCGTGTGCCAGATTCTATGGATACAAGCCCCTTCGCTCATAAAAATCTGACCTGATTGCTCCGTTATGATCAGTATTATTAGTCGAAGCGCCGGGTACTCAAATCCCATTTTCGCGAGTACTTCACAAACATATTGATGAGATATGCCATCGAATGCTTTGGTGGAATCTGCCATTAGTACTGCTTGGAAACGTGAACTATGTTTTATCTTTATGTCAGCTTGTGAAAGCGATGTCATGGAGAAGAATTCCATAGTGTTCTGGTTGATCTTTCCGTTCTGCATGAAACTGAATTTTTAACACCATATGATATAACTCCTTTAACTTTAGAATAATTAAATACTTTGTGTTCATCCAAATTTATGTCAACTGGTTAGAATATTCTATAAGACTGTTCGACATTCAATGACCTTGAAATGATAATTATGTTTGCACACTATTAATTTTACCTCTAAGATCCAATCTTTAAGAATAATAGAGGGGAGGTATATCGTAAAATGCTTTGAATATAATTTAGCTATATTTTGAATGGCATGGTTGAATCTGCTTAATATTTACTTGATATAGATACACAATGTTTCAATTCTGATTTAGACAAAACATAACTTTCATAATACTGTTTTCTTAAATAGTCGTTGTTTATTCTATTTGATAGTAGAAAGTTTTTCAGTATTGCTTGCTACTTATTCAAACATTGTCTGATTTATCATATAACTATTAAGCATATTATTTGAACTTTTTATATTTAGACATATTTTGTCATAAAGCCCACTTTAATTGGTATAATTGTAGAATTTTATCAGCCTTAGAAGTAAAATTTTTAAATTCAATTTGAATTAAAAATCTGTATAAGAGGAGAAAAGGATATTTTGAAAGATATAGAAGATTATCAACACAATTAGGTATACTTAAACAACTTTCATATTCTATAAAACACATTTTATTATTTGTATCAGCAAGTTTTTCTGTTCTAAGAAAAGAGCGAACCGACAGACTGAAACCAAACTTCATTAGTTGCATTAAGTAAGTCATTCAAAGGAGATAGGGGAGTACTTCATTCGATAACAACTTTATGACAAAAGATCAGAACTAAGTTTTTTTGAATCATCAGACAGACATTAGTAAAGATTAGACGGAGGGTGAAAAAAGTTACAGCTTCAAGAGATATATTTATATTTAGTGGTTAATGAATTCACATTTGTTATACGAGAAAATATGAGATGATCTGACATAACAAAATGTTATGTTTTGACCATTCTTCACATAGTGTTATAAAAAGAATATACGGAAAGAGATCGACAGTCCAAATTTTAGAAGTCTTTTAAAAGTGCATGAGAATGAAAGGAAGAAAGAACTAACGAATAATGGTACAATTAGAATTGAGAACATTGATTTACCCCAAGGAAGTGTTCTCAGTCCAATCTTCAGGTGAGCAAATTCTAACATTGTCATGGACAATTCGGATTTTCATGTATCAAATATCCACGTACAAAATATGCGAATTGGCAAGTTACGTAATTCCATATTTCAGAAATTACAGTTTAACAGACTAGTGGCTTTGCTTGAAAAATCGTGAATATAGGATACGTAAACATATTCCTCTTTCGGCGAATATCCGCTCTTCCCCGAAAGGCGGGCTTGTTCTGATAATACAATTCTGAACTAAGAAGGGGTTTAACAGGGATTCAAATCACAAGGGAAATGTGGTAATATCAGCATATCGTACATCAGAAAGGCGCTTATAAAACAAATCCATAGAATCTCTCTATGGTACTAAACTCATATCCTTTGATATAGAATAGCCACCCTCTGGGGCTATCACCGGCTACGGAGATTTTAAATATATAACTCTTGTATAGGTACCATCAGTTTATATTCAGCCCCTATAACATAAATCTAAGCATAGTATCAAATCATAGCTTCTAATTTCGTGGCTATAGGCAGTACTCCATCACAAGAAAAAGATACGAGGTGTAAAACATCGCTGAGGTTATCCATAATGCTGATTGTATTCCTGGTATTATCCACCTCCTTTACTATGAGTTTTGTTAGGTATCATTTTGGACAGCTCATGGGATGTTCTCTTGAGTTCTGAGGGTTCCCTTGACGTGACTTCTTGATGAAATATATGAAGGTGGAATGTAACTCCTGAAGAGCCCTAGAGAAAGTAGTGATTAAATAGTAATGCATAACCCCCATGTCCCGTGAAGTCCGCAACAGACTGTAAGGTCCCTGGTATCAGCTTGACAGTGATGGACCTTGTAAGCGCATATATGGCTATATGCACTTCCATTACTGTGAGTTCCGTCAGATATCATTCTAGACAACTCATAGAATGTTCTCTCGAGTTCTAGAGGTTCCGTTGACGTGACCTCTGGAAAAAGTATATAAAGGTGGAAAAGAACTCCTGTAGAGTTCTAGAGAAACCAGTGATCAAATAGTAATACATAACGCCTATGTCCCGTGAAGTCCCCAACACAGACTTTGATATTTTCTATAGATATTATGCCCACCCTCCCGGCGGGGCCGGGAGTATATATCTGGCATTCTTATTTCCGTACCTCTACGTTGTTTAATGTGCTTCATTGTACCGGATTTCATCCTGTTTAATCTTCATGTATTCCACCTTATTGCAGTATAAGGTGAGAGTAATATCAACGAGCGATACAATGTGCAGTACCCCTAAGAATGGTGGACTCAATAATAGAAGATATATAAGTTTTGAATAAGGGGTATTTATAATAACGATGATGTTCATGATAAGCATACATCCCTTCATATCAATGATGATCTATTATATTTCGCTAGGTGTCTAATGCTATTCAATGCATGAATATGGCGGGATGCCCGCGCCTTCATGACTACTCAATAAGTGGAGAGATGTAGGTATACTCCGGCCAGACAGAGGAGAAAGAACAAACCTGGGAACTGGGAGAACACCGGCAGGAGGCTTAGACGGGGCCAGGCTACGGTTTCATAAGATGGAGGCGGCGTGCAGCGTGTTGCCATCATAAGCAGTTGCATTCCCTCCAGCCATGTCCATCAATGCCCAGCCACGCCCATCCAGCCGCGCCCACCAATTGTACAACCCCCTCCAATCCTTCGATCAAAAAGTCCAATTCTTCGATCAAAAAGTCCAATCTACGAGCCGGCACTGGAATTGCTTGCTGCGACCAGCCAGCATCGCCACCATGCTGCGTGGGCCCCCAGATCCAGCGCCACTTTTTGCTGGCGTACTGGGGGAGAAGCGGCGGGCCAGCCATGCCTGCCCAGTGGGGCCGCGATTTCTGGGCCCGCGATATCTGGCCCTGCGATTTCTGGTCCCGCGAATTCTGGTCCTGGCGCTGGCCCCGCGATTTCTTTCAGGATCAGATTTCTCAATTCAAGTATGTACGGTACTCTTAGAATACTACCATTCTCTAAAAACCCTTAAGGAAAAAGAGGGAGGCTTTGAAAAAACTCTCCCTGTACGGAAGTTTTTTTCCCTTTGCCACGTGAGGGATGGCTACATGGCGGATACCACGTGACAATTTCTGGCCCCGCGAGTTCTGGCCCCGCGATCCGGGCCCCAAATCGCTGGCCCCAGCAGCCCTCGCCCCGCGCGCCCGCGCGCCCGCACCACCAGACAAAACCGGGCCGCCCGCCCCAGCCTCCACCTTATCCCTCCACCACGCCGTTCTTCCCTGCCCCCGTCTTCGCCATGAGCCCCCGCAAGCCCGCCGCGGCAGACCGGCCAGGGCCGCCGGGCCCGGCAGAAAGACCGCCCGCCGCCGCCACGCCGTCTTCCAGCGCACCCGCCCAGGCTTCCAGCACACCCGTCCAGGCGCCTGCCGCCGCCCCCCAGTCGTCTGCCGCCGGGCGGCGCCGGTCCAACTCGCAGTCGCAGGGCACCGGCGCGGCGCAGTTCGGGCCGCCCGAGCCGCCGCACGCCGGCAGACGGCAGGCCGGCCCGGCGGCCCGGAAGAAACCGCACAAACGGCCGGCGGCCGAGTTCTACGTGACGCTCTCGCTGCTCAACGACACGTTCGCGCCCAAGCACGTGCACGTGCCGTACTTCCCGGACACGTGCAAGTTGGGCCGGCCCACGGGCTCCAAGGTGAAGCCGCTGGCGGCCAACGGCTACTTCGACTCGCGCGTGCTCTCGCGCAACCACGCGTGCATGTACGTGGACGCGGCGCTGGGGCAGCTCATGGTGCAAGACATGGGCCTGTCCAACGGCACGTTCGTGAACCTGGAGAAGCTCGGCGCCGAGCCCGTGTGTGTGCGGGCCGGCGACACCATCAACTTGGGCTTCAACATCCAGGTGGAGACCAGCCACAAGCAGATCAGCGCGCGCGTGGACCGCGTGGACGTGGTGGCCGCGACGCCGCAGGGCGCCGTGCTGGGCGTGTTGCCGCGGCTCACGCGCCTGGCCATGGCCCTGTTCTCGGACGCGGACATGCACCACTACGAGTTTCTCCAGGACTTGTGTGCGCGGCTCGCGCCGCCGCAGGGGCCGGGCCCGGCCGGGTTTCTGCCGGACGCCTGCGCCGGCGGGCCTCTGGCGGCCGGCCCGGACCACCGCGGAGCCCCGCTGGACGCCCGGCCTCCCCCCGGGGATGCCGCGCCGCCCGCCGTCAAGGCCTTCGACCACGGCATGTTCTCCGACATCGTGCCCTCGCTCGACGACTTGTTCGACAGCTCGGCCCGCCAGCGCGCGGACGGCGCCGCGCCGCGCCGCGTCTCGGGCGTCTACACCGCGCCGGAGCTCCTTTCCACGCTCGACTTCTTGGGCGCCAACTTGGCCAAGGTCAGGCAGCAGCGCTCCGTGTTGGCCTCGCTCGAGGCCTTCTTCGCCCGCTACGCCGCGCGCGTGGACGAGATCACCTCGCTCAACGCGCGCGAGCAGGCGCGTGTCCGCGAGCTCGAGCTCGCCGCGAAGCAGCTGCTGGAGCGCGAGGCCGCGGCGCGCCAGCTCCGCGACACGGAGGCCCAGCTCGCGGCGCAGGTCCGCCGCGTGGGCTCGCTCGAGGCTCAGCTCGCCCAGTTGGCCGCGGCCGGCTCGGGTGGTAAGAGCCACGTCGGCGTTTCCGCCAAGAGCGTTGCCAACGCCGGTCTTTCCATGGAGGGGAATCGCGAGACTGGGCTATCCCCGAAGGGCACTGAGAGGGGTCCCTCCACATTGGGCCATCGCGAGACTGGTGCCTCCACATTGGGCCATCTCGAGACTGGTGCATCCACATTGGG